AACGGCCGTAAGCGGCCAGGCCAGATAAACATCGCCAGAAAGAGGAACACTCGATACTCAACACAAATTTATGCACTTCACTCGAGAGGTGCTTAAGACAAAAAAGGAAAAAAAAGACACGAAGAATGATTTCACGACAAGCTATGATTTCAAATAAAAGAAAAATATTTTTCGGAGACAGCATATTTTTTCTTTTGTTGGTTTCAACCTTTAATTGAGCTATGTGCGATGGGATAAAAGAAAAAGAGCACGAATAAGTCCTTAAGTATATCCTAGATTTTTAAAATCGTACTTTTTGATATATTCTTGAGCACAAGCCTTTAATCTTGAGAACAAAAAGATTTTAAAGTTTTTAACTCTTAGGGTAGCGTTAACTTTTTTTTTTTTAATTTTTTTCTTGAACTTTAATGAAATCGTGAACACAAAATTTTAAAATGGTTTTAAGAAGCTTAAAAGTGTTTAAAAATAAATCCAACATTGTTTAATACCCCTATAATTTTAGGATTTTGTTATTATAAAATAAGGTCTTTATAATTTCCAGCCAATCATCAGTGTTCCTTCTTCTTAAAGTTAATATACCCCTTAAGAAATACCCTTGGTATTTAGGGTGAAAAAAAAGAAACCAAAGCCAAGCTCATTTCCGACGCATTCGAGAGTGCACTAAGCACACGGGGCGTATGGGTGATGGGGACTCACAAAGTATTGGATGATGAGCATGTTGTCGATATGGCAAGATAAAGCCAACAACTTGTGGATGTTGGTGTTGCTGTTGTGATTGTTGCTCCTGATGAAAAGTGTAAGCTTGAAGTTCATACACACACAATTACAAAGGATCCAAGGGTGAGGTGGATGCGGGACTTGAGGAAGGAACTTCCTTGCTGCTATCTGTATTATGCTCTTGCCCCGTTATTGTTTCTTCATTCCACCACCGCCCCGCATCCGGCATCTGCCTCATCTACACAATTGTTGCATTAAATAAATGTATTTTTTGTCGGGCCCCGCTTTACGTGCTTACATACGAGTACACAGGGAAAATCACTTTCAAATAATGTAGGAATTCCGAAAACACAATTTTCAAACTAGTGAGCTAAAGGACCTCTCATTGTTTTTTTTAAGCTTATATAAATTTTATTTCAAAATGCTATCTTTACGATGAATAATGCATATTTTCTTTGGGTGTTCATAAGATAATATTCCAGCAGAAAATAGAGAGAAGCCTTCCAGGCACAGACGTTGATAGATTTCCATGCATGCCCGACACTCCTAGGCGAAGGAAACGGAAATGGAGGGAACGCTGGCATGGCAGTGGATATTTAGAAGGCTCACTCACTCACCCGTCCTCTGATGGCGCTGTTTGCGGTGTGTGCAACGCGTTTTAATGAGTTTTTTGTTCTGTAGTAATTATTTTTGCAGTCTGTTATACTTGTATGTGCAAATATTCCGAAAGACCGGCAATCAGGTCCCGGGAAATTTTAATGAAAAAATGCAGAAGTGCAGGAAACGCTAAAGAGTTCCCAGGGGTTCTATAAACTGGAGCTTTAAAATATTAAAGCAAATGGTAATATTCTTTACTTTAATACTTGAGTTAGAAATCCCATCAAAATTGATGTACCATAATTGTAAGAGAATTGTAAATAAAGAGATTTTATCATTTTAATGCACTAGTTTTCCACCCAGGCCACTAAAACTGTAATTACTACCGTAACTAAGTTTGGACTTAATAATTTTCTGGCTTCTTGGTGTACTTCTCTGTGATGCCGTTTCCATAGCAGCACAATTAGCAAATTACAAATTTAATGCAAATGCCCTGTCGCACAGGCAGAAACTTCAGCATTAATCGCCCACACATGGACGACTGTGGAATTATGTTGTACGAATTTCATATTTACATTTGTAAAATCGAGTGCCCCTCAACGAATCGGCCCGCTCCCTCTCTCAGACATGGGTGGATCGGTGGCTCTGCCAACTGGCAGAATATGTCCAACCACCTGACATCTCTGCCATTGTTTACATTAATTTGATTTAAAATGCAACGCCAGCGAATCAAGCCGCTGCCACAGTCCCTTGCTAAGCTGCCAACTGTAAACAATTTGTGATTTTGGAAATTCTGCTGGGTGGCCGGGCATGACGCGTGTTTGGTTAATTAAAATGTTATTAAAGGCCTCTCCTGCCACAGCTGAACATACATTCAAGCTTGACAAGCGTGGGCTATTTCCAGGACAGACATGGATTGCGTATACGCTCCGTAAGACGCCATAATTATAAAGCAAATAAAATGTGATTATCTTTTAAATTAGGAATAATATTATTGTCATATCTTTCAATATTCGAATAATCCATCAGTTTATGCTTACCAATTAAATGCATACATAGTAATCATGTTATGGTTATGGAAAACGTGAAATGATGCATAAAATGCTTTTGACGAATATGATGAATATTTCCAGTAATAAACCGAAGCTGAAAGAATTTTATTTGTGGAACGGCTTGAAACGAAAAATAAAATATTTTGGATTATAACCCAAATATTAAAAATAAAAAAATATCAAAAGGCTTATGAGAAACTTTATATTTAAAATGAACTAATATATTATGACAGAATTGACTCAGCAAAAATGGCTTTACCTTTTTAAAAAAAAAAACATGATAAAGCCACGGCTATAGAAAATAATTAAGGGTTTTAATAAATTCAATTTTTCAATAAATTGTCTGTGATATTTAATTCCAGCATTCACACGCAATTTCTTATTACACATTTAATTCGATCAATTTGCTTGTACAGCAATTTTATTGTCTGTACAAATTTAACGTAACCCACAGACACAAGCCCACTCACCCAGAATCCGGTGAGGTCAGGGAATGCTATTTTTATGCTTTGGCTGCCGCTGCAGTAGCGTTAAATTTTGTTTTCAATTTTCAACACTTTTAATAGCCAATTAATTAAACGGGCAAACAACAACAAGCGACTATCTATACAAATGTGTACAAGAACATGCATAAATATCCGTGGGATATCCATACAAACTCATACATAACTCTGTACAATGCGTAGTATATTGGGAAAAAATTTACCCGTCGGCTCTTGCCGAATGAACCAAACATTTTTATAATTTCTGGTCGAGTTTTTATTATTTAACCGCCAGCTGGTCGCTCGCAGGAACACCTGATTCCCCGTTTACCTCTTTGAAGTAAAAACTTTTCACTATCGTCGCTCACATAAATCATAGTGTGGAAACTTGAATCTGACTAAGTTCTCTACTGTCCAAGGGACTTATAATTTATGCTGCCCAGCCACTGTTAAATAATGATTTTTTAAACAAAGGCCAGGAAGATTGTAAATTATGAATAAAAATGGCGAGGGGAGGTGCATGAATGCGAGAGTCAATTAAGAAAATTACTATTTATGAGACAAAAACACACACATAGCTCATAGTACGCAGCATTATTTGGGACTGGGAAGGAAATGTCGACCCCAGGAGATTAGTGGTAATTTGCCGCTTATCCTTGGCCCAGCACACTGGACCTGTCAAAGTTTTGTATTTATTTCTACGCATGAATTATTTATGCGTCAAGAAGGCCCCCAAAACTGGGTGGACCAAACTTGGTTTCTGGTTAATGGGTGAGCGAAAGTTTCCAGCCAGCCATCCTTCCACTCCGTCTCAAAATTTCTGTCTTGGACACTTTCTCTTTCATTCCCCGGGTGTTGGGTATTAAAACTTTTTAGCATATGTCAAACGCCTTTAATATCCTCTTTTTAGAAATTACAATTTTAATGAATTAAGCAAACACTCTCACTGCAGTATGGCTAAGCTTAATAACAAGGACTCAACCAACTTTAACGGAGTGGAGAAAGGATGAAAAACTAAAAGAACTTGAACAAGAAGCATCTACATTAAGAGATTGGGATTATTATAATCGAAAGCTGTGTGACTTTTTGATCCCTCCTTCCGGGGAACAACTTATTGAAAGAAAACGTATTGAAAACAACAAGTGGCCCACAGTTTCAGGCAAAGGGTTTGACATCAAATTAGCCACACGTGAAGGCTGCGGTCAGCCCGAAAGTGAGTGAGAAAACTATAAATAGAAAAGGCTGGCAGACAGAGGTTATTGTGACAGGCACTCGGGGCGTATGAGCAGTGGACTACTTCAAAAGGATATCAAGCGGTCATCAGTTTAACAATGACCAAATACGCATTTTGTTTTCCGAGTCCTGGCCAAAGGTGGGCGTAACCTTTTGAAATGACTTTTGGGCGTTACCAGGGGCAACAATTAAAAACGAAATCTCGTATATACACACAGAGGGATAAGGGCAGACGGGGGTTAACCCCAAACGCCATCATGAAATTGGCCCCGGGACTTACTGATGTGGCAACATTTGTCGGGAGCTCGGGTCCAGCCATACAACAACAAATCCTTGGCGATATCCAAGGATACGCAAACACACAAGCACACTAGTATACACACTCACATACCGACATCCAAAAGCAAACTTCTGCCTGATTAACACTGCCGGCAGAGCGTAAAGGTGAAGAAGAAATCTTAAAGGGAAATTGGCGTCAGGTGTGGCAGGTGACAATTTAATAACAACTCACATCCCAACTCACTCAACGACGTTTCGAATTCATATTGACTCGCGGAAACAGCTGGGCCGACAATCAATCAAAAAGTTTCCAAAAAAAATGTATATAATTGAATATTTATTGTCTGGCTTGAAATGAAAATATTCAAATTTAATCTGTGTAAGATGGATGATTGTTGATAAACAGAAAATCTGAATAAAACGAGTTTATGTCTGGAAATCGAATCTTGAATTGTTGTTTCTGGCTGTTTTGTTTTAATAAGGCTACAATGAGTATACATTTATAAAGAAATTGTTCAATCATAAGATGATTTATGATTAAGAATTATTTTATTTAAATTGTTATTATGAAAATGTTTCGTTATGATTATTAGAAAGTTTATTATTAAAGTAAAGTAATTATATATATTTGCGTACTCACAAATAGGAAACTGCTCCCGTTCTGCCTGCTCTTGAAGATGAAGTTCCACTTCCGTTTCTGCTTCTGCTTCCACAACCATTTCCGCTTCTATCTCTGTGACCGACTCCATTTGTTGGCCGTCGGGGAGAGGCTGGCACTATGTGCTGGTCGAGTCTCCCAGTGGAGAGGCTATGTTGCTATTGCTATTGCTATCAGAGGCGGAAAGGGGTCGGCAGATGCCAAGGCGAGTGAGTCCAGGCGGCATAGCCTTTAGAATGGACACCGCCTCGTCCAGTTCGAGACCCTGGAGCAGGCGATCGCCCACGCTCATGAGACGATCGCCAGGATATATTTCGTTGGTTGCCTCCGCAGCACCACCGCGTATCAGGCCGCGAATAACGATCACACTGCCCTCGGAGTCCAGGGGATCCTGGTAATCCAATATGGAGAAACCGAAGCCTTGTTCTGTCTTTTCGATATCGACTATAGTCACCTCACAGCTCCACAGCGCCAGTCCGGAGACATTCTCCAGGGACTTGGAGCGAGCTCCTCCAGTACCGTTTCCCGCCCCAGATCCACTTCCCGATCCTGCCGCTCCTCCTGCATCCGTTAGAGTCGCCGTGCTGGACGTGTAGAGCGAGCTCTCCGACTGGGCCTTGCTCAGCAGATTTTGGAGACTCTGGTGGCCGCCGGGCAGCAGGCTGCGCGTCTCGAAGGCCTCCGGATTCTGAGAGGTATTTATCACCGACGGAACGCGAGTGCCCCGGGCACAGACGAGCTTCACCCTGGCCGGCAGCTCCTTGAGGATCTTCACTACCTCGATGTGGCGCAGGCCCTGGAGCTTGTACTCGTTAACTTGGAGGAGCTCGTCCCCAGGCCGCAAGATGCCCTGGCGACCCACCGGACCGTCGGCTAGGATCGAGCGAATGTAGTGGTGCGGACGCTTCTCAATGCCGCACTCCACGTCCACGGTGCCTTCGAGGCTGATCCCTAGACCTGAAAGTTTATTTATTTCGGCAACTATAATTTCACTGTCGGGAAACTCACTTTTCCAGGCCACTCGAAGCGATGCGGCACTGGGACTGGCCGCCTTCGCTGGCGCCTCATTAGTGGGCGTGGGCAGCTGGCCGGGATCTATCTCCGGCTCGTATTCCCTATCGATCTCCAGATCCGGCTCAAGTTTGGTTTTCGCTGCACTGCCCTTATCCCTATCTATATCCTTTTTCGGTTCTGCTTCTGGCTCTGGACACTGTTCATCGGTGTCATTGCCACTGTCGTCGGCCACGTTCAAGCTCCTTCCGTTGGTAAGTGGAGTCAGCGGTATAGCCGTAATCCTGGCCACTCCACCACTGTGATCGCTGCGGTCCAGCACGTGCGACATGTTTGATTCCACGGTGTCTCTGGAGGGCAACTCCATTAAGTCGTCGCCCTTTCCCACCGAAATGCCTACCTCATCCACCTCGGGATCGCCTTCGGTGGCTATTGAATCCGCATCGACTGATTTGGGCGGCAGCCAACTAAGAGTGGCTATTGAGGGAGAACCGGGCATGGAGAGCTGCGACTCCTGGTCCGGATCCTTATCCTGATTTCTTTCCAAGTCGGATCGACCGGAACTGCCCTTAATCTCTGTGAGGGCCACCTGCAGATGCTCGTATTTGCGACCCCTGAGGAACCGTTCCAGCGTGAGATGCACCTCGATGTCGGTATTACGGAGCAACTCCACCGCCTGGTGATTGGTCACACCCGATAATGAACGGCCATCTACAGCCACAATGCGATCGTTGATTTGGATCTGTCCACTAGTCTCGGCAGCACTGCCCTCGATGATGCTCTTGACGAAGATTCCCGAGAGATCCTCCTCCTCGCAAACATATCCGGCCACTGTGATGCCCAAGCCGTAGACATTTTTGCGCAACTCTACCACGTACGTTTCCGTTTCCGGGGAGTCCATGTAAGAGCCGCCACTGGGTGAGCCTGAAGCAGATCCACAGCTCGAGCCGGAGGCCGAAACGGACCCCGCCTGGCAGCCGTCTTCGTTGGCCAACAGCTTCCGTTTGCTGTCGGCTATCACAGTCTCTATGTGCTTATCCTGAACCGATCGCCATTGGGTCTCCAGGGGCAGCTGCAAGTTGGGGCGCGGCGGGGGTGATAGAATCGAAAAGGGTACAATATCCAGGTCCAGACGTGGACAGCTGCGCTGGTTGGCTCCGGAGTCGGATAACTGGGCATTTTCACCCGGAATAGGTGGCAGGGGTAGATCGGCCAAGTCCGCTAGTTCCGTGAGCTGCAGTTGAGCTGTCGTCGCCGCCACCACGGGTGGGGGCTCCACGGCGGACATTTCGGCACCCTCGGCGGGACCACCGCGCACCAGGCCCACCAAACTGGCCACATTTACATCCCCAGCACCCATGGAGGCGGCTGCCGCTGCTGCCGCTGCAGCGGTGGCAAAGCTCGGATTCTGAAAGAGATGACGCGACAGTTCTTCCGGGTCGGAGAGGAGCTTAGTTGGTATAATCGGCGCATGACTGGCCAGCGTTTGGTAATCGATGGCCGTCGGCTCCACCGGCCGCGCCACTATCAGACGCACCTGAGCTCCGGTCTGACGAAGAACTGTGGCCACCTGCTCCGAGCTGAAGCCCCGCAGATTGACTTCCCCGATCTGCAGCAGATGGTCTCCCAGCTGCAGCCTCCCATCCCGCTCGGCTACGCCGCCCGGCGTTAGAGCCTTGATCACCACACCGGTGCTGCGTCCGCCGACGAGGATAAAACCCACTCCATTGCCATCGTTGATCAGATCGATAACCTCCACCTGTGACCATTCGGTGCTCAGAACCATCTTTTGGCACCGATGATCCAGCAGTCAGATCCTAGGCCTATTCCTATTTCCTTCGATTTGGTTAATTGTGTTCCAGATGTGGCAGTTGTTAGTTGACTAGTTGCTTTTAGTGTAGAGTCTCTAATTATCCATGAAGTTTCTGTTGCTAACATGTCCGGAATTTAGCGGTGGTGCTGTTGAGGATTGCTGCTATAATGATGAATATTAAGTTTGCGCCAGCTCCTGCTGCTGTTACTGCTTGTGATTTTGTTGATATTGTTATTGCTATCGCATCGAGAGTCATTTAGCCGAATATTTGGGCCGGGAAGTGCGCTCCAGGCACCGTCACCGCCAGCCGCATCATCCGCGACCGCAACAGCACAGCGCACCTGTAATTATGCAACACACGCCCGCATGCCACACGCACGCACGCACTTATATTTGTTAGTGAGTTGGTGAAGTTTCATGGAGCACACGGCGTATACGCAATGCGAAGTCGGCCCGCGAAGTACGCGGCGTATACGTAATGCGAGTAGGGGGACAAAACTGAAGTCAAGGCAGAAGCGAAGGCGTGGCACTGGCGTGAAGTGAGAATTTAAATTGTTGCCCTGTCAGGCATAACGGGGGATACCCTTAATAAAAGCATATAAATAATTAACGAAAAGCTTAGACCAGATGATGAAGAAATGTTAACAATGGAGAGCAAAATAAAGTAAAATATGTATGATAAGTATCATATGTAAAATAAGTACATATGTGCCATTTTCGGTTTCTTCGATATCCAGTTATTTTTTAATAAACCTATCTTTAGGTTTATCTTTAGGAGCCGAGTTTGTTTGGAACGCAGAATAACCCGATTTTAAATAAGTTGTACTTCCTGACCTTTTTTATTTGGTATTTCCAAAAGGGAGCCCATCTGTTAGCGATTTTTATGGTATCCCCGTATTAATTTTTGATTATTCCTGCTAGGGTATACGAAACCCGTCTATGCTGACTTGCTGTGTCCTTATTTTTATCTTTTTTCTCTTTCTGCCTTTTTAATGGCACCTTTTTTGCACGATTTTGTAATTTACATGCACACACACGCACATGGGAAACGAGAAGTTTTTACCTTTGCCGCTCACGTGCCACGCATGTTTGGCACCAGTCCCGTTACCCCCGGTTGCCCTCTTCCCGCGTCCGACCGGCGGCAGCCCACGGCAGCTCTAATTGGAAAATGCCATGCCATGGCGAAAGTCGCAACGACTAAGGAGAAAGGAGAAATGGCAGCTGGAAGTTGTGGGCCAAGCTGCTGACTACTAAGTGCTGCATACTTTGCGGCGCCTCCTTGGCAGTCGAGAAAGAATCTGCAATCGAGCGATAAGTTTCGAGCAGCCGCAGCAACTGCCTGCCACCAATCACTGGCAGCCATATGGCTAATAATGGGGATTGATATTGTAGGAGGGGGTGGCTGTGGGGAGCTTGGCGCCAAGGCTGCCTTCAACTTGTTCTGCGGTTTCCCATTTTCCTTTTGGCACCGCTTGTTTTTCCGGCCAGAATCCACTAATAAAGCTAATTGTGTGGCAGCAAGTCAAAACTCTTATATCGAATAACTTCTTATCTACAAAAATCGAAATAAACAACTTGAAAAGCTTATTATTTTCATTGGGAAAGGCATTCCAAGACTTTTTTAAGAATTTCTCTCATAGGAATTCGGAAACTTTTATTTTATGAGCTGACAAGCAATTGCGAAATATATTTTCATGAAAAATTGAAATCTTTAACTAAACAAATTTTATTAAAATGGAAATTTTGCTCTTAAAGCCTTTGTGGTAAATTCTTTGCATTTTTTGCCTCAGTTTCCTTAAACAATTGGTAAAATTTTGTTTTGTGCTTCTCTAAAGGAAAGTTTTTCAAAGAACGTTTTAAATTACCAGTAATATTTTTTTCTAATGACAATGGTTTCAAATTTGGCTTTATAATTGGAGGATTTTTAAAACCTGCCTAAAAAAATCCTGCCTGCCTCCCTAAAAACCTGCCTGAAAGCTAACAGATTTTTTTGTATCAAACTTCTACGGTTCGTCCTTTAAACTTTTTTGGAAAAGTGAAAAGTACACTAATGGTCGGCATCGAAGCAGCAGGAGGCCAAAATCCGCAACCGAAACCAAATCCTGTTCAGTGGGTTGCCGTTTTAATTGTGTTCCTGAGAGCTGCTCGCTGGGCGGCTTTGCGTCCATGAGCGCAAAATGGGAACGCATTGTTGGCCGTGTCTGCCAGTGACTGCAGCTGTCAATTAAACGCTGATTGACTTTGCATCCAAAGGACAGGGATTGACGCACGATGCGTATGATTAACGTCGAATGTGGTCTCCAGGCTGGATCCTGTTTTTCTGCCATCCTGCTCCTGCTGATTTAGCCCCTCTGTTCAGGATTCTAGCCGAGGCTTTGGCCATTTGCTTGTGGACATACCAGAACTGCATTTCCAGTGAGAAAAATTTAATATAAGAACAAGTTACTTATATTTTTAAAAACAGTGAGAACCCTTTAGGTTTAATGATTCTTTTCTAATTTAAACTTTTAAAATGAATATTAAAAATGTTCAAAAGTTTACCGGTCACCGGTTAATTATTTTTCCCCTGCATTCACGAGTGTGCTTCATTTAACTTGGTTGTGGTTGGACGGGTGCGCTGAAAAGTGGTGTGTGGAAATTGAGGGAAAGCAGGAGCTGGAACAGCAGTTGTTGATGTCCCAGGCCCATTACTCAGAAAGTAGGCCAAGCGCGTTTGAAGTTGCCACTGCGTTTGCTTGTGTGAGCTGACTGCTATTTTTATACGCCTCAAGTAGAGCCAGAGGTTTATACTCCCCGTCTTTTTCGCTCCATGCCGTGTCGACTCTGTCCGCCTGGCTGTGCCAGTTTTCGGTTTCGTTTTATTGCGCCTTTGGCCACTGTTGCTTCTAACGCACTTCAAACTGCCGAGCCGCTGACCTACTGAGCATTATTAGCCGGCTCCACGGCCCTTGGCTCAGAGTTTTTGGCCCAAGTCCCTGGTCTCTGCCGGCGCCACTGCCACTGCCCCTGTCTCTGCCAACGTTGACGCTGCCTGTCAAGCGTCGAAAATCGATATAAAAACTAAAGGAAAAGTGCCAAGAAGGTCTAACCCTATGCCAAGCCTAGAGAACTTTAATATACCCTCTTTATTAAAGTATAACCCAGATGGTCTTCTATTTGATGTATGCTTTTTACAAAAGCAAAACCCTAAATGAATTTAAAATTTAAAATATTAACCTAAGAATAGGGTATTTCTTGTCTTAATGAGCTTAATTCGGATGGAAGGACCCACGCCCAGAACAAGTAAAGACTTCCTGCTGCCATCGGAGGAACTGCTGGTCTAGCCGCACTGACTGCGGCTGTCGGCTGCTTGGCTGTAGTTCGGTGGCTGTGGCCGTAGCTGCGGCTGTTGGTTGGTGTCGTGTGGCTGCGCCTTTTGACCCACCTACCTAACCGCCCCCGCCGTCGGTTCCCGCAGTTTCCCCCACAAGCTCTTAGCCAAATTGCTGCAGCCAAAAAAAACGCAAAAATAACAACAACAGAAACCGACGGGGTGAGAATACTGGAGAGAGGAAGCGAAATAACTTGTAAACTTGCGGCACGCAATTTGCAATTACTTAGCCGTCGACTCCTGGCGCCGATTGTTGCAAAAGGACATTAACGCATGCAAAGGACAAAAGAGCCACAGCCAAAAGTGAAACGGTCCCCTCCCTCACGACTTTCTTGTTTGCTGTTTTCTATTGATTTAACAACAACAAGGCGGTGGGCACTTCCGCTTCCGCCTAGGTTGCGTATACGCCGCGTGTACTTTTTCGAACAGGTCATATGGCTGCGTAAAAGTCGCGTGCTCCACAGAACAAATTTGGACCGGTTATTCGGACAGGCTAGGATGCCCAAGAACATTCATTAGCGACGGTCGTTGGTGGTAATTACCCGCACTGGCTGGTGGCCAGTCGATGGCCCAGCAAACGATTTCCGCTGCGATTCGCGGCACTTCATTCACATTCACTGCACAAACACATGGCTCGACACTCGCGTTGTTTTTTTTGTGTTTGCTCAGCCAGTTTCCTTGTTTCCCGACGCTGGCCAAAATTTTCTCTTACTCATTTATTAGCGTATTACGCGCGCATTTTCCGGCTCAGCAACACGCCCGCACGCCACGGAGCTTCTTGGCCAAGTGAAGTGCCCGTTGGCCAGCAGCTACCGCTTCGCTCTAAGCGAGTACCGACTGTGGCCCAGGGGGGTCCTATGGCCGGCGAGGGGCTGCCCGCCCATGCGCACTGGCCAACCACATGACTCCGGAATGCACTGGGAGCGAACCGGAGAATCGGAGAACCCACAAATGTGTTCGCAATATTTACAATTTCAACCTGCCAGGCGGTCTTTCATTCAACTGTCAGTTTGCGGGAGAGATATCCTCAAAGAGGCAGCCGGAGAGCGAGAGACTGACAAAGACTTATGGAGAAATTGAGAAAAGAAAAAGGGAAATGTCAGAGCGCAAGCTTCGCTGCACAGAGGCGTCGAGATAAGCTTTTTGGGGGTGTTTATTCCTAACATAGAATCCTTGAAACAACAAGTTTTCCTGGATTTAGAGTTGAAAAATCTTGAAAAATTATATTTTTAAACCATAATAGATAAAATAATAATGAATTTATTTAAACGCTAATATTATTTATATTAAAATGATCTCAAATATAGTTAGTTATTTTTACAAAAAAAGGTGAACCAAATTTTTTACAAAATATTTGTTTTTGGTGCTAAAAATTCTAAAATTTGAAATTATTTCATAGTATAAATATATTATTTAAGTAATATAGTATTAGTTTCCAATTGAATTATTGTTTTTAAAAGTTAAATGCCGGTAAACGCTGCTGGGGCAACCAACAAATCGCCTGCGCCTGCTCTGTTGTCCCCGGCAACCAGTGGCCAGAATAAATAAGTGCCCAGGTGTCATGTGGTGGGTTAAGAGTATAGAGGGGCTCGCAGGAGCAGGGATTTGGGGGTGGCTCAACTGGGCCCAGTGACCAAGCAGTCGACGGTTGGCAGCGCCACCGCAAGGCAGCCCAAGAGTCATAGTTGCAAGAAACGTGGAATGTGCCAACTTTTCGCGGGCAAATCCGGAGACGGGGGTAACCAGCGACGGAGGAGCAACTTCTAGCCGCACCTGCCCCAACCGGGCGGTCAGGTGTCAATCAGAAATTCTACAACGAAAGGTGAAACATATCCAACCAACTGAAAATCGAACTCAGTAAACAATTATCTACGACTCAGGTCGGCGTCAAAATTCATAGTTCTCCTTGAATAAGTTTTGGATTTCGGCAGTTCTCGATACAATCTACAGAAAGACACACGTGTTTCCCAAAATAAGCCATACGTTGCTCATTCCCTCAAATAAATAAACAAATAATACACTTATATTAAAACTCGATAAAGGCGAGAACTTCCTCATAACTTCCAATAAATATGTCGGAGCGTGGGGAGAACTCTGACGAGGAGTATTACGTTAACGAGGACTTTGAAGAGGACTCTCAATCCGAACTGGAAGAACAGGAAACAGAAGAGGAAGGCCAAGATGGGCCGGACGATGACGGTGATGATACTGAGATTGAGGTGGAGGAGCTAGTCCAGATCCAGAAACAGTCCAGATCAGCACACCTTGAGGAAAGCGACACTCAGAGCGAGAGCGATGTTGAGGCCGAGTTTATGCGCGGAAACGTAAGTCCTAATCCTGTGCAGGAGCTCACCATCTCAGAGTTCAGTCTGACCGCCCCTGTTCCCACACCACGCCCACAGCCTCATGCCCGCCGGGTCTTGGGCGGAAGAACCTCTGGCCGTGGTTTTAATCGCGACCGAATGCCCATTTATCCCAGCTCCTCGTCTGATGACGAGAGCCAGGTCATTGTAACCAAGACCGTGGCCGAGGTCAACCATATTAGTTTGCAAATGGACTCGGGTCTCGACGACGAAACGCCGTCAGTGCGCACCTTAAAGCCAGACAGTGCCCGATTCCCCGATGAGGACGAGGACGACACGGAAACCGAAGTCGAGGAGATCGAAGAAGAGGAGGATGAAGAGGTAGTAGAGGACGACGAGGATGCACAGAGTGATGGGACGATTGAATCTAATAAGGGCCACCATATCGCAGAAGAGAGCGATGAGGACCAGGGCACTGACGTCGAGGTGGAGCAACTGGAGGAGGATGAGCCCGTAATCGAGGCTAAGACCATGCGTCCTGAGACTCAGAAGCAACAAGAGGACATCGTTTCTCTGGTAGATGCTAGTGACAATAGCAGCGAGTACAGTGTGGTTACTATGGGTAGGGCTGGCCAAGAGAGTGATGTCACTTTAGAAGATTCTTCTCCTCGATTAAAGGTGAGTTTTTTTTTTAGTTTTTAGCTTATATTTTAACCAAGAACTTTATCCGTTTATGAACAGTCGAAACTCGAAAAAGAACCCTCTGATACAGTATTAGAGTCACAGAATGCTCCCTCCTTTGAGCCCCAGACACCCCAGGGAAAGCATCAGGAAGAGACTGCCCCGGCCTCTATGCCCATTCTGCCGCCTTTAAAACAGCTCGATGAATTCTTATACAGTGAAGACGGCTCACTAATCTCCCAGCCTGATACGGCAACCGTTAAGTACCTGGAGCATCAAATGGCCCAAATGTCCGAGATGATAATGAAGACCTTCCGCATGAACGGAGGCGCTACCAATAGCCAAGCCTTCGAACAATTGGCTGCGGCAACGGAACTGATGCAAAAGCGTGGTCTGGAACGCGATGAGACTGAATCGGAGGCGAACTCCATTACGGAATCTGCATTGACCAGTGCTAGAAGCTGTGGCGGAAGATTACGGCCACCAATGCGGTCGCGTTTGCCACGATCTCAAGAGGCCCTACTCTCCACGAGATCCCCAATGGCAGGAAGACCCAAATGCCGATGCCCCTCTGAGTCAGATCTCATTGAACATGACCATGAAATAGAAATGGGCTTGAAAACTGATCCAAACATCGATATGGGAATGGGTATAGGACAAGAGGACTTCCTAATGGATGAATGTGGTCAGGGCGACGGTCTGATGATGCATCCACACCAACGTCGGCCTCCAGAATTCCACACACGTGCGGCAAGTGGAACGCCCAGCACTTTTACCACCGACGGAGGCAGCTATCCCATCAATGTCACACGTTCCCGCTGTTCCAATGAAAAAATAAAGTAAGTGGTATAATAGATCATGGAAGAGCAAAAATTAAAAAATTTTTAACCCATTTAGTTACAAAAATCTCGGACGTAAAAGCTTTAGTTTTACCAATCCACAAGTGCGTGAAATTGAACGACAAAATCAAATCCTGCTCAGGAAGATGATGACTGTGAAGCCCACGGCTACGATCAAGGCGAGCACCAGTAGCCTAAAGATCAACACCAATGCTCCCGAAAAGGTGAGACCTAATGCAACCCATTGTGAATTATTACTTGATCCTGTATATCTCAATTTCAGAGTCAGCAACCGCCGGCCCCGCGTCTCTCCAGCGCTGCAGTGAATCGAAAAAAGTACCAGCGCCAGATCGACCTGGACAACGATATACTGAAGCGGAAACTGGAGGCTATCGGCACCCGGCGCCCACAATTCAAGTGAAGCCTATTCGGGCAGCCCCATCTGTGTTCATTACTTGTTTAGATGTGTTTTAAGTGAATTTACAAAATTAAAATTTATTGCAAGTTAAGAAGTGTACAAAATCGAATTTTTATGCATCTGGTTGTAGATTTTAAACATGTATAATTTTATTTAAACAAATAGAAGGTTCAATTGGTGAACTGGTTAAACTATTTCTCAAAAGTGCAAACAATGTGTATAATTTAATCCAGCAAAAATTTTAGCATATAAATTCTGAACAACAATAAGATACTAATGAAGACGCATACAAGATTAACATGCTTTTTGTATAAATGTATAAAGTTTTCTTATCATTACATATTCAATTGAAAGTCTAGTAAATTAACAATGGAATAATTTGTAAAATCTTATGAAATTGGTAAAAATATCCTAGTAATGCAAACTAAATGTATAAGATCAAAAATTTCCCAAATGTGCACTGAAAACGGGCCGTGTCCAAAACCTTTCACAACGCCACCTCGTTCATTTTTGACAGAAATTTCTCGCCCAAGGCCTTTACTGCTTTAAAGGCAGTTTCGCCGTTTTCTTCTTTAAATTTCTCTTCATTTTTGAGTTTTGTTTTTTCTCGCTGTTCCAAGTCCCGATAAATAACTTGACCAATCTGAAAAAAATTGTGAATCCTTCGCACATCTCCAAAAATATATTTCAATTCAATACTTACGTAGACATCGATGGCGGCATACATAAGTTGATTCTCGTCCAGCGGGATGACATGCCACTTACTCATGCGCACTTTCTTGCTTTTATCCATAGCCTTTCTGCATATAAAGTTGGCTAGACGTTCCAAGCTCCAGCGACCGCCAGTTTCACAAATCGTATTGCACCAAACGCCCAAGTCCACACATTTTTCGATCAACGCATCGGCGGATACTTCGGGGTAATCCCTTTGCAATTTACGGAAATCACTTAAAAACCAAATGAGTTAGCAAGTGAAATGAGGTGAAACAAAAATATTTTCTAGCTAAACTTATACTTACGCCTTAATGTTAACTCCATGTAGTCGCACTTTGGGATGATTAATAAGGGCCACCAGAGCCGATGGTAGTTTCTTTACGTTGGTCAGCTGGTAGATATAACAACATTTTTCGTCTACGCATATCTGAATGACTGAGGTCTTTCCTGGTCCGGTTTGAAAGGAGAATGGCCACTCCATGTCAAAAGCCATAGGTACAACTTCCTCCTTCTGTTTATCTACCCATTGCCTAATCGGATGAAAAAGTAAATACATAATATTTATCCTAAGAAATTCTTGTAATACTCACATGACATCGTCGGCCGAAGCAGCAATGTCTTGACTCTCTGTATAATATTTTATGGCCCCCTTGTACTTGATGAAAGGAAGTTTTTCGGGTTTTTCCTTCTCGGGGGATGGAGTTCCACTATCTGCCATAGAACGGGTGCTCCTAGTGGTTCTGGTGCTGCGACGTTTAGGTGGATTCTCGCTTTCCACAGTCTCCTTGTCCTGAGTCTAAATTAAATGTTTGAATATATAAACAAAAATACATTTATGGTACATCTTACGATTTCAGGAGTATCCAAAGTCTTCCGCTTTCCAGTTGATCTTCCAGTTCTCCCTGCTTTGGTTTGCTTAGGAGTATTATCCTCTTCGGTGTTTTCCTTCTCCTTTGCCTAAGAGTTAAGCATTAGTAGTTAAATAAAAATATAAAATTGAAGATAAAGTACCTGCTTCGGAGTATCCTTTTTTCCTTGGCGACTTGTCGTTTTAGGAGTTTCTTTTTTGGCGACCTCTTTCTACACAATTATGATGGTATTTGAAGTGTTTTGTAATATTTTCCTAATACTTTCAACTACTTACCTTATCAGGAACCATTTCGTTATTATTTTTGTTTGGCAATTTTATTAAATATTTATCCATTAATTTATTTTGTTTGTTGATGATGAGATTTTTGTTAGTATAGTTTCTTCCCGCCAAAAATTCAAAGTGGCAGTATTTCAATAAAAAGAAATCTTTAAGATATTGTATCTAGCTATATTCTAGCTAGGTATATTTCGGTATTTTTTAATATTTATTTTAAGATACATTTTCTTGGTAATTTATTAAAGTTTTAAACAAATTTGATAATAGTTTATTGAATTTACAAAATCTTTATTCTAATAGTGTGTTTATTTTATTTATATGATCCTTGTTTTTGAAAAATCCCGCCTATCTAAAATACTGCATACTTTCGCTAGTTTTGATTCAAATTGTTACTATCTGGGCACACTTACCCAAAAGCCGCATTAAATAGATGATAGTTGTGTTTATATCCAAAAATCCCTTAAGAAGGCTGAAAACTTTGACGTAAAACGATGTCTGCCAACGTATCCACCCATTACATATCGGAGAAGGTATCCCGGGTGCGCTGGCTTCCGGAACAGTTGCTGCAGAGTGAGCGCTTTATTACCGGCAGCTGGGACATGGACAGGAACTTTGTGCGTCTGTGGAAGCTCCAGTCAAACCAATATGCCACCGCCAATACAGCTGCCGCCGCGGATAATGTGGAGCTGATGCCTCGTTGCATGGACAAGGTGTCGATGGAGGACGACGTCACTGGAATGGAGTTCGTGGACAAGGACACACTGGCAGTTACCACTGCAGATGGTAAGGCTTAAATAAATATCCTTAAATTACACATTGATTTACACATTGAATTTTTTTGTAACCAGGTCGACTTAGTCTTATGAATGTGCAGCGAGCTGTCGAGGAGGACCAGATGCACCTGACAGCCCGCAGCGAGCAACTCCACAGCTTCCAACGTAGCCAGGAGCCGGCTCCGTGCACAGATATTTCCGTCTATGGAACTGACATTGCCACCGCCGGGGAGGATGGTTGCGTCAACATTCTGTCTGCCAGTAATATACGTCAAGTAAAACGGAACATCGAAGCGGATAGCTTAGCCCTATTCGCAGTTAGCTTCGTCAGCCAAAATCAATTGGTGGCTGCAAACCGAATGGGTGTAATTCGCATGCTGGACGTCCGAGTAGCCAGTGAGGCACAGCCGAAGGTTAACTTTATGGTGGCTTGCAAAGACGATAAAAGCTCTAACTTTGTATCGTCAATCACCTCGCATCCAATGCAACAACACATCCTTCTCTGCGGAACTGAAGAGGGCTCTATCACGGTGTGGGACTTGCGAAACCTAGAGTATCCCGCCTCGTATCTTAACGCCCACAGCAGTCCCATCACTGATATAGGGTTCCACCGAAAGGACCCCTCAAAACTGTTTACAGCTGCAGAAGCTGGCGAGGTGTGGATGTGGTCGGAAAACAAGGTTCTGACATGCGACAATCCGAAGGATGGAAGCAGCGCCTGGCTCAGTGGTGATCGGGTGAAATCGCTGGTCGGTGTGGAGGGTGTCCTGACCAATATACGCAAAGCAATAAACTCCTTCGATGTGCATGGAACTCGATTAGTCTGCGGTGGTGATTCAGAGGCTGTGTACTTGATCGATGACATCGTCTGAAGGTTATGCTATGTAATTTCATTTTCTATAATTATTAAAATTGTTATAAAAGAATTTGGCATTATTTATTTTAAAACAAATTATTTTAGTTAGAATGAAGCGTGGTGTTGGTGTGTCCCACCAGCAGCCCACTCTTTTAGTTTAACTTTTTGGAGATAAAAAACCAAAATTAATAATTTATTATTTAAATTTCATAATTTATTCATACATTACTTTCGGTATATGCAAAAATTGGCTTAAATCAAAGCACCTGACTTATAAATAGACGTACAAACTATAACTACTTTCCTGTATATATTTTGATCATGCCTTGGCAATTTTAATTTAAATTTGCTCGTTTTGGGTGCTGCTGTGTAGTTGGTCTTATGACTCTTACTATTAGTCGACTTAAATACTATTTCGTTGGCTAATTTGGAATAGATTTATGCGTGTTTTCAACTACCTTAACGGATGAACTAACTTGGACTCGATGCATATTAGGCTAGGTGAATATAATAAATACAGTATGTATAGGTATGTATGTACAGTGAAGCACTTAGGCCTACGTCTGTCTAAATCCGTTTGGATCCCTGTTCGATTCCACACGAACCCACTATATATTTTCAATTTGAGCATTTTCAATTGCAGTTGGGTTAGGGCGTGGAAATGAGTATTTCTGTTTAATTTTTTGTCATAAATTTGAGTTATAAGTTGATATGGAAACCCTAATATTGTTATCCTTTTAACGACAAATTCTCCTTTTTATCAAGTTCATAATGACAATTCATATTGTGAAATATTTTAGCCCCTGTGTTAGGTCCGTGAAAATTATTATTCTTTTAAGATATACGTTTTTTTTTTAATATATTCCTCTAGTTCAAGGTCCTAGTAGAAGCGCTCGAATTTGGGCGGCTTGTTGAGTGCGCAGAAATAATACCCTGAATAGTTTTGTGTGGCTCCGGGTGGAGTGTAATCGCCGATGCTATAGTTCCCGTAGTCGTAGTTTCCCATATGGGCGTGGTGGTGATGATGGTGCATATGATGTGGGTGCGGATGAGAGTGTGGGTGTGGTGGGTGGTAGTGCTGGAAGCCGCCTGCACTGCGTGGCTTTTGTCATGTAAGAAGGCTATTTCCCCCACCACCAACTCCGCCCCCGGTTCCGGATCCACCATTGCTGTTGCCGTTTCCGCCACTGCCATTGCTGTTATTGCCATGAACGCGCATGTGCCGATTCAAGTTGCCCGACTGAGAGAATCTGTGTAAAGAAAATCATTTTATTTTTTATTTAACTTTCAAAAATGGGAAAAAATTATAGGGAGGTGTTGAATACGTAAAATCTTCAATAATTAAATTTTTTTATGCATTTTAAACATAGGATTTTTGGGTAAACATGAAACTAGTAGACCAATTTATTAAATTTTCCCTTTTAGTGTACATTTACTTCAGCAGAATTTTAAATATTTTTAAATTAATTTCAAATTTAAATGGAGAGTTTTCCAGACTCACCTGAGTAGGCAGAGCTTGCACTGATAAGGCTTTTCGCCGCTGTGGATGCGCAGGTGCTTGGTGAGGGTGCTGCTGTCGGAGAAGGACTTCTTGCAGGAGGAGCACCGGTAGGGTCGCTCGCCGGAGTGGGTGCGCATGTGCGTGGTGACGCTGGAACTCTGGGAGAAGCGTCGGTCGCAGATGGGGCAACGGAACGGCTTCTGTCCGGTGTGTGTGCGTACGTGGGCCGTTAGATTGGCGGCCTGGGAGAAGCTCTTGTTGCAGTCCGGACAGCGGTAGGGCCTCTCGCCGGAGTGGGTGCGTAGGTGCGTCTTGAGCGTGCTGGGTCTGGCGTAAGTCTTTCCACAGAGCCGGCACAAATTGGGCTTCATATCCCCGCCACTGCTGCCCTCATCCGCATCTAGATCCTCGTTACTCTCCTCTTCGTCTTCGAAGCCGGAGATACTGAGACCCAGGGCAGCGGCCTGGTAACTGGTGGGACTCTTGTGGGGCGGCGTGTATCCTTGATTCCCCGTCTGATAATAGCCACCCAGGGCAGAATTGGCTGGTGGTGATGGTGATTCTTTTTCGGCCACGGTAAGCGGAGCAAGGGAACCCAGACCCGCTGGACCTGGAGCTCTAAAATCCGCGGTAAACGAGTATGTAGCCGAGGCAGGATAGTGACTCGGACTAAGAAGCGGCGGGTATAACACATTAACAGCCGCAGCAGCTGCCGCTGAAGTGGAGTTGCCCGGTGGGGTCCAGTTCACCTGGGAACACTGCATCGGCAGTGTCCCGCTGCCATCGGCTGCTCCGTAGCCATGGTGCATGGTCATATTCATGCTAACGTTCACACTCATGCTGGGATACATGGCAGGACCCGGTGGAGGAGGAGGTGGTGGAACCGGAGCCCCTGCACTAGATTCGTAGTAGCAGGCGGCGGTGGATCCGGAGGAACCATTATTGCTCACGTTGTTGTTAGAGCTGCTTTGGAGGAGCGAGTTGCCACCGTGCGAAGCCTGGCTTTGGGACTGGAGATGCTGCTGGTGCTGCTGATGCTGGTGGGTGTGCATTTGACTGTGGTTATGGTTGTGGGAGTTTCCGCCGGGCGAGATGAGCATCTGGTGGGGATGCACCGTGTAGGAGAGCGAGGCCTGGTGAGGGTTGCCGGCGGAGAAGTTGTAGGAGGCGCCGCAGGGCGAGAAGGGGAAAAGGCTAGGCAGAGGATCGATGTCCAACGGCGGCAGGCCGGGAAATGTGGAGGCCATCTCGTCTGTGCTCCAGTAGCTGGTATTTCCGGCCGAACCTCCTGCAACGCCACCGCTTGTTCCGTTGTGGGCGCTGCTGCCGTTGCCACTGTTTTCCGGCGGAGTGGTGCTGATCTGGATGTGGCCACCGCCAATGACCTCCACACCAATTGTGGGATCAAAGCAGCCGCCGCAGTCGAAGTCGCTGCTGGTGAGCGAGGAGATTGGCAGAGCGGTGTTACCCTGGCAGGATAAACAGCCAACGCAGGAAGCGGCGCACTCTTGCTAAAAGTTCCGGAAATCGATGAAAATAAAATAGGCCGTTAGCAGGTTAAGGTGACTGAAAACAGGACCGCACACGAGGACTGCTCCGGAGAGATTAATTACGGATTCCAGGACTCACCTGCGGACTGTCCAGCGCCAAACCGAACAGGGGATTGTTGGGCACATAGCCCGTCTCTGGTTCCACAGGACCGCCGTTTGAGACATCGCACGATATGTACATAGCTCCACCCTCTTGATCTTCCAGGGAATCTGCGCAGCAAAAATAAAATAAAGCATTTAGCCCACTGGAAATCCAAAAGCCAGAGATGCTCAAAAGCAACTCATGTATCTCAGGGATACATTTGATGCCAGTGGCAACCACTGTGCAGTTTGCGAAGCTCCGCCCTCGAGGCACACCAATTCACACAACCACACGACAGTCCGCCATTTGCTTTCCTCTCTCGCTTTCAACCCGCGTATCTATGTATCCGCGTATCTGTGAGTCTTGCTTTTGATTCACTTACCCAGAATTATGTTCAGGAGTTTGGAACTCTTATATAACAATCCCATGACATGACTCCAGTTCTGGAATGTTTGGGTTTAGCGTTCGGGGATTTGTTTCTGCTTTTTCTACGTTTCATGCTGAGGCAATAGTTTCAAACTGTAAGGCAAGGATTAGATATTAGATTAATTTTCATCGGACATTTTGTTTTTCGTAATTAATATACCGGTAAAGTTTTAAAGTTACTAAATTATTTAGGGAAAACTTTTGAGCTTATGGAATAATTCAAATATATTTTTTGGTATTGTTCTTAAGATTGTTTAACATTTCTGAAACAGATTAGCTCCAGAAAGTATAGCTTAATAGTTTCCAAAATCGTTGCAAATCTTTCGATATATTTTCTATATCTAATTTATATGGAAACAAGGATATTAAATATGTATGAAATGTAAACACAGACATATTACAACAATATTGCTAAGGAATTGTAATCTCGATTGCAAAAATATATTTATATAAAAAAAATATATATATATTTAGATCTAAAATCGACACAAAATGCTGAAAAAAATTTAAGGAAGTCTGTAGCCTTCGAAAAGCTTATTAGGTTCTAATATGTGTCTATCAACTATTATAACTTAAATAGGGATACAGTTTGTAAAATGTAGGAGTATTGATTATCCTTTTCTCTTTTTTAATAGGCTTGAATCTTGGTTAGACATATTCATTTTTAATTTAAGATTTTCTAAATTGAGTGTGATGTTAAAAGTTTTATCGCCAAATGCAATATTCCAATTTAAAGTTGACAGAAAATTTTGAAATAAACTTTTTTGAATTTTTAATTTTGTTGAAGATTTAAGGTTCAGCAGCCATTTATTTAGTTCATCTGAAATATCCTTTTTTTCGACGATCAAGTAGAACTTATCCAAAGTTGCAAGTTTTGAAAAAACTCAAAATGATTTTTTAAAACATAGAGGGAATTCCACAATCGTTTTCGCACCTTTTAGATATATTCACAGATGTCATGATCTTATAAGGACCAACAACAATAGGCTTTTCACTGTTTTTTGTAACTTTCTTAAGGTAATTAATATTTATATTCTTGCGCCAGAATAAGTTCGCGATCGTTGAATTTTAGTTAGATATTGATTTGGAAATGGAGCCGTTGTGCAGTTTTTGAGTTTTCGAATTGAGTGCGGAAAAAGAACGACTTTTGGCGACGAGCATAAGACGGCGACTAATTGTCAGTTTCAGCTCTAGGCACCTCGGCCCAATATATCGACTGACGGGCAGAGCGACAGCAAAGCTACAACCACAGAGGAAGAAGCGGGCTGCAAAAAAAAAATACCCACTTAATTATAAACAAGCGACAAAAGGGCGCAAAAGACAACGGCAGCAGTGTGGCAACAACAATCTCCCTCGCACTCACACCCAGATCCACATATAATGACACAAGTACCCGGTACTACACATGCACTCACTACCCCCTGGTACTATACCCCTACCCCTATCGATACCCAATTCCCATTCCATATTCATCCACCACCACAACAACGTTGCCGTCATCGTTGTCGGCCAACCAATGCGCTCCGTCTACCGGCTTTTGCGGCGTCCTACCCTCTGTGCCCTCTCCAGTCTTGCCCGTCCTTCCTGGCCGCTCCAATACCGACCGATCCCGCCCAGACCAAGTCTTCGTCTGAGCCTCAGTCTCAGGCCCATTCATACGTGGCCGGCAGCAACAACTACAGGAGCAGAAAACAACCAGCAACGAACAACAGCGGCAGCAGTTTTCAGTAGTTTTTATTTGTCACCCAATATCTTTACAGCTCGACACCAGATATGTACCAAGCCAAAGGGAAAAGGACGGATGGCACACAGAAAAAAATTCTTTTCAAATTTAAAATCTAGGAAATAGAAAGAATTTGGGAATCCCTATTGATCCATTGCCTTCTACAATTAGCAATAAGTAGTATGCACATTATTTCAAATTATATAAAACAGTTCAAACTATTAAACTCTTTTAAAGCATTTAAGGCATTTTCTATTATTTTCTCTCAATGCAGGGGTTGCCCCAGGACGGGAGCAGGGATTGGTGGTGTGGTGGTACTGGCAACCATTGATCGTCTTCGCCGGCTTTCTGCTTCCTTCGCTCCATTCTTTTGTGGTTAAATGCGACTGACTGTCCATCAGGCCAAGTCGGCAACCCCTTGGCTGCTTCTGTAACGCGTATCTGTCAGTGTGTGTATCTGCTTCTGTAACTTGTATCTTTGGGTCTCTCGGTGCTAATTCTCATTTGTAGCTCGGCCAATGACGACTGTCTATCCATCGATCGATCGATCGATCGATCGTTGCTCTTGCCGCTGAGCAACCGACAATTGTGAATAGTTTGAATGTTATTTGATAGTTCGATTTGTGGTTGCTGCAGCAGCAACAAGAGCAGATGAAGCAGAGAGAAAAATTCAAGCCAAATGGAAAATCTTAGAGCTGTGATGAAACGTCATTTACTGCCAGCGATATCTTTGATAGGTCAGGAACTCTTTTGAACTCAAAATTCAGAGCATTCCCCTTCGAGCTGGGAAAGTTCACACGCCCGAAAATGTATTTGCCAATTGGCAAAATCAGTTAAGTGTAAAGGCTTGCAGATATTGGCTATATCCCCATATCGGCTTACCCTATCGATGGGAATTTCAGGTCACAACAGAGTCAGCGTCGTGTGTGTTAAAATCAGAGCCAGAATCTGATCAGAGCCGAACCTGTTTTCATAACCTTTTTTTCTGTTTTGGTTACGGTGTCAGTTTCACGTCAACAACTTGGATAAGGACATGAGCCTGTCTGTGCTGCTGCCGATTGTCAGAACGGATTAGGATCCGATCCCTGGTAGCTGGCTCAATCCAGGGATATCAATAACAATTAGAATAGCTCTCTCAGGTGTACACGTTCAGGTGTCAGCTGATCAAACTGCAACAGAAACATCTCGACTCAATTAACCGCAAAGGCCAAAAAAATCCTTGAATTTGCTACAAATTAAGCCAATGAGTAAATAAATTCAACCACCCTCCGTGGACCTGTTATCACACCAGCCCATCATCCACCTCATCATCTTTATCTAACGCGAGGCACGTGGAAATGTTTGCTTCCAGGCTCATCGGTAGCTTCTGTTTGTTTTGCGTATTTAACTTGGCAAACAATGGCAGGACATGAGCCTGGTCTTCCCCCACACCTTCTCTGATTCTAAGTCCCTTGTTGCCACCATCAACCAGAGTATTTTCACTCATTTCAATATTGCGTTTTACATATGTATATATACGTAGGAATATATGTTTATATGTTCTGGTTGTCCAAGTCGTTTCATTTCGTTTCTTTTGCCGTTCTGCATTCAGTTGTGAATTGGCTAGGCTTCAAAAATCAATGAAATACTTTTCGGGTGGCACTGATGGGGCTTCCCCGGGTTTTGGCTGCGCTGTGCTTTTTTACGCTGCCTGCCGCCCAAGTCATTCAACATGTTAATGCCATTCGGTCATACTGGATGCCGGTCAAAATGGTATAACAGCAGCAGTAGCCAACATTGGTGGAAAAATGAGGGAAAGAGTGGAAGACAGTCGCAGAGGGAAAACCATTTTTCGCATAAGTGTTTTGGGTTTCTTGGAAATCACAGAATGGCACTGCTCTGAATATAAATAGTAATTTACCAAGAGGAATTAAATGTGAATGGAAACCTTTATTCAACTTTGTTGATACATACATTTTGTAAAATTAATTAAATATTACAGCTGTTGAAACTAAATTTATGGATCTAAGGCGGTTCTGTGGATGCAGAATGGGTAATGCTTCTTCCATTGAGTTTTTCGATAAAATGCGTAGTATTCAGTCCCCAACTGATCAACAACTGTCTTGCTCTATGTATAAGGTTTCTATGATATGCCATTACTTAGTCGGAATTGTAAAGTTCGGGTAGTTCTTGGGACATCTGTGAGTACAATTGCACGTTCGATACTCACGCCCCCGCCCCAAAGGAGAGTATCGATGACCGCGTGACAGGAGCAGCAGTTGCCGGTTGACATTTGCTGGACAGGATGGAGAAGGACAAACCAAACGAACTGTCCTGACAGCTGGACGAGTCGGGATCGGTACTGTCGCATAACCCATATCTTATTAAAAACCTAAGCCAGCTTATTAAATGCGCGCTGCTTATTACAAACCCCCGAAAAGAAAGAGAAATGTAGCCAAGGACTCCCCCACGACAAAAGGAGAGAACTACTTGAATTACATCTGAACTTGGCCACAAAAATTGACTCTTCGTCCTGTGGACATGGGAGTACACTTGAGTGAAGCGCGCCAAATTGAATTTGTAAGACGATACTTTTCGGAGGGGCAGCGAAGAAGAGTTTCCAGAAGGGTTCCCGCCTTATCAATGGCAGCAATGTCCTGGCTGACAGAAACAAACCAATTCAGCGATACAAGCGAGCCGGTTGTTTGTTTTTTATTTGGGAATCACTTCCGCAAACAAACGTTCCGCAGAAGACCTAATTGATGATGATTCTTTCTCACAGTGGCAAGGACGAGGGCGTGGCAGGGGCGTTTTGTAGCGAAAATTATCTTAGGCGCCCGTCGGTCACGCTCCGTTATCTGCAATTGCATTTTGGCGAACCGCAAATGATTATCCTGTAATCCTTTGGATAAATATTAAATTTCAATTAGGCCAGTTAACATATTATTAGCTACCAATCGGCACTATCATAATCATCGCTGCAGGTCGCGTGTCCAACCAGGAGCTGATAATTATCTACCCAAATGCGAACAACCGCAACCCTCCTTGCCTGCTCAATTTGTATCTCTCAGATACGGCTACAAAAGTGGTGACAGTCAGCGTCAAAAGATGCGACTGCAATTTTATCAGATTATGTCTGGTGGTGCAATCCCCTGGGTCTTCTCTCCCTCCCCGAATCCTCAACAGGTGAGAGGAGCTCGGTGAAACTTTGTGTGAGAATTTTTCTTTTTTCGGCAATGCTTTCTCCGCCCTCCCCGCTGATGAATCGGGCGTATCGGGTTACTTTACCCGTTTGCCGCTGTGATTCGTCGCTCTCAATAATTCTCATGAACTGAAATTGAAACGTTCTTGGCAGGATGGCCATCAGTTTTATGTGAAATGTAATTAAATGTTCATTCCTCTTGAATAATATAAGCCATTTGATGTCTTACATTGTCTCAGCTTTTGCTGTTAACAACAGCTTGTTGACCAAAAGACTAAAGCTTATGTTAATTACAGAAAGTTAAATTGACTAACAGAGTGTTGTGACTGTTTTACTTTTTAGGGTGAACCAACAATGCGCCGAAAATGCGTCTGTCTGGGTTTAAAATTATATTTTCTTTTATCCAAATGAAAAAAACGAATGTCCAATATTTATACAAAAATTTTATTTATCGAGATGAAAAACTAAGACTATAAAAAACTACCCCTTATTAACAAGAAAAGCAAATCAATTTTATGTAATAAGCAAGCGATTTTCTAGATTTTGGGATCCTGGGGTGTGATTTTGGCAATCTTCAAGGACTCCTCCCAGATCTTGCGGCCCTTCTCCTCGTCGAGAGCAGCGGCATTCAAGGTGGCCTCCCTGCAGTCCATGTAGTACTTTCCAGACACATTGGCCACTTCGTCCGATGTGGCCAGGTAGATGGTGGTCTGGGCTCCAGCTTTGGTGGTCTTGAAGAAACCCTTAGTAATGGCCATCATGGGCAGATTGAGGGGGAAGGGCACATTGCGCCAAATGCCGGAATCGATCATGCCGGGGTGCAGGAAGTTAACGGTCACCTTGGTGCCCTCCAGCCGCTTGGCCAGCTCCCGGGCGAAGTAGATGTTGGCAAACTTGGACACATAGTACAAGTAGGCAGCGGGGAAGGTGCCAATTGGATTCAACTTGGCCAAATTGACGGAGGACAAACGGTATAGCTCAGAGGCCACAATCACGATACGAGCTGGGGCACTCTTCTTCAGGACATCGATCAGCAGGTGGGTCAGCAGGAAGGGGCCGTAGTGGTTAGTGGCCATAGTCAGTTCAACGCCGTCCTCACTAGTCTGTCCGCGGAAAGCCAAGGCCATGCCGGCGTTGTGAATCAGAACATCAATCTTGGGTTCTGTCTTAACAATGTCGGCGGCAAACTCGCGAACGGATTTCTGGGAGCCCAGATCCAGCTTCTTGACAATGACTTTGTTGTTGTTCGTTTCCTTAACAATTTCATCTGTTAAAATAAAAGCAATTAATAAACATAACTATACAATAAAACTTATTTTTAGATAATAACTCTAAAGTTAAAGCCACTTACCCTTGACGGCATTTGCAGTCTCCAGATTCCGGCAAGCCATGATGATGCGGGCTCCACGTCCGGCCAAGTCTTTGGCCGTCTCCTTGCCAATGCCGCTGTTAGCGCCAGTGATAATAACAGTTTTTCCCTCCATTTTGGTCTGCAATCAATGTCAAAGTTCAATTAGTTAATTGTGCATTTGGGGGTCTCCTGACAATGCCTTGGGCGAGTCGGATTAACTTTAGAACAGTAATTAGTAGGCACTTGGTGGCGGGCAGTCACAGTAATCAGAGTTCGTCTGGAACGGGGGGTATCTTAGTTTTCAAAGCCATTAACTTGGCACTTAATTGCCGTCCAACCTGAGATCTTTTTGTGACTCACTCAGTAAGCGATCGCTTAGAATGTAATCGAGACTAGAGAGCTTCAGATGCTTGTGGGTTGTTTTGAATGCACTGACAGTAACTGTATCTCTCGGATATGACGTACCCGCTGTTCTCATAAGCTATCTAATATAATTTGTAATTAAGTAAAATCGTCACCACAGTCCAAGTTAACAAACACTACAAGTCATGTAAAGGTAGGTTTGAAATATAAAGGTAGAACTTTGTTTTGCTTGATTTACAGTTTTGAAACGTACCTTTTAATGATAATTGATACTGATTCTAATGGAAAAATATTTTAATAAGGTTTAAATTAACTGCATTGCATATTAGCGATAGAAAATCCACATCAATAACTATTAGTTAACTGCAAATTTTACATTCATGGGTAATTTTCCATGGTAGATTACTAAATCTTTTAAATACTTGTAGAATCGTAGCTGGTGGATACCTATTGAAGTATGAGAACTAAATGCAACATCAGGAACTCTAAGACCCTAAAATTAAATTCCATTATAAAGTTTTGTTTCAGAACAGCAATATAATTTGTATGTGAATGGCGACCCCAATTGAAGAATCTCAAAAGAATTCGAAGCGGAAGTGGGAAGAAGGCCCATAAAAAGTGAGAATTGTCCGAGTCATGTCACGATTTGGGAAACTAATTTTGGGTGGCTTGGTTACTAGGAGTGGGCTTTTTGGGTGGTGGGCTTGGGAGGTGTTTTTGTTACCTCGGTGAAGCATCGGCCCGCCGTGATGCGGAGATAGAAGCGAATGCTCATCAGGGTGGCCACGATGGCCGATACCAGAGCCATGAGGAAGATGTCGGAGACATAGTGCTCGGTTGGCAATAAACCGAAGACGAAACCCATCCTACAAATATTCCGATGTGTATATACTACAATATGCTTACAAATATATTGGTGTCAATATGCAAATAAGATTATATAATATCGGAGACAAACCAAAGGCCAGACGCTTGTCTGAGGCCCCAAGAAACGAGTTTGGTTTGGGGTTTTAAGGTTTTTAGCTCTGTTTAGTTTCAAGAGGGTTTGTCGGTCAGTCTGCGGAGATTTTCACAATTTCAATCGTTTATCAGTGGCTGTCATGAAATCGATTTGGGGGCTGTTGTTGTGAAAACTTACACTTTCACTTTCACACATGTGCGTAATTATGGCTTATTATTATGAAACGCTGTCCGCAGAAGAAATAGCGGAAAAAACAAAGTAAAGTTCGTTGGCAGCCAAATATGAGGAAAGGTTTCAAAAGCAAGAAAGAAAGTATGAAATTTCATGTATAGTTTTGAGTTTCGGTTTTTTACTCCACCGTCCACGTCACAAAGATTTCTTCTGTGTGCTTTCCTTCAGATTGAAGACTCGAAGTCGAAGACTGGGTCTGGTTACGCTTGCATGATCTGCAGAAGAACCCCGATCTCTCCAACCAGCCCCGCCCAGAATGCAGTCCGAAAAGCACAAGAAATGGGTACAACAAAAAGGCGTCTAGAACTGACCCGTTTTCGGTTTAAGATCGCTGCAGACGAGTTTTTTAGTGCCCACTCACCTGTTTTGGCTGTTCTTGCTGATCTATAATTTATTGCAATTGCTGTTGGCCTGCACTTTGGACTGTCTGCGGAACAAATCGATGTCGAATCGATGAATCTGTGTAGGAATCTGAAGATCCAAAAGCTGCTACAACCTTCGCCTTGAACGACTGCTCGGAGACTGAAAACGAACTGGCTTGAATCGGAATCTGAATCTGAATCTGAAGCCGAGGTTGCGGAGAATGCGCGATCGTCTCCACTTGTTTGGATCGCCGCGGAGCGTCTATAGTTATAGCCATGGTAACAGGTTAGCCGGCAAAGTAACTGGCTTTCTTGGCTCCGTTGTGGTCCCCTCTTCGGTGGCCCCCCTCCCCTTTTTTTGGTGGGGTCATTAACGAAGAGTAAGCTCAAAAAGAGATGTGGAGAAAACTAGTTGGTAAGAGAAACTGTGGGGGGAGTGGGCTTCTAGCAAAGCCATCTATCGGGAGCTTTGAAAAGCCACATAATATGGCTTAAATAATGGGACTGAAATTATGTAGAATTTAATGGCTAGTAATTGGTTTTTTATTAACCAGCACTTATTTTTATATTTTATATTTTTTATTATTTTTTTTTATTTTTTATTTATATTATTTATTTTGTTGTAGATATTTAAGATGAAGATCTTCAAGTGAAGATCATGTATGTATGGCAAGTATAGATAATCTGTCGAGCTTACTCCTACATCTACTTTGACCTCTTCAGCTATGACCTGATTATTTTGGTCTACATAATTTCTGAAAGACAACGGCGGAGTTGGAAAGGCCTATAAAACCTTGCCTGTATATGATTTTACATTTTTTCCACCGGGTTTTCTTAATATCCCCTCTTTTTCTCATTCGGATGGCTATGAATCTACCAATTTGTATCCGACCAGGAAATAAAGCACCATTTTGTAATCAGCAAACCCAGAATAAACTTTCCCCATTCAAACCATTGCTTAAATATAGTTTTTAATGTTTCGAAAGTTTTCCGTGGCGGTAACCCCATAAAATTTTTCGTTATTCTTATTTCCCCACTTGTTATCCTTCCGATGGCCATAGTTCCATAACACCATTAATCAGCAAACCCTGAAGCGTATTTCCTTAATCAAAACCTAACCGGAGCATGGAGTTTTGTTTAGGAGGAATAATTCGCTAAGAATTATCACAAAAATAAAATTATTTTCAAAGAAATGTGGATTGTATGTGTAATTACATATTTACATTATGTTCTAATGATCAAAATTTTCTTTAGCTAAGTTTCTTTAGCTCTATTTATCGATGCTGTTTTCCTTGAGGGTCCTTATTGGTGGCTCCATATCCGTATCCAGATGTTTGGTCAAAGTGTTATACCATTCGCTCATGTGCTGGGTTACGATGTTAATGAAACGAGACACCTTTGCCCTGACGGTAGTCACAATTCCATCGGCAAGGGATATCCTGCGATGCTCTGTAGGTGGAGCGTTGGTCTTACTAATCTTCATAATCGTGGAATCTTCAGAGCCCTCATATCGCCGAATTGGGTTTATTTGTGGCCTTTGATCGACTTTGTATTCGTACAAAGTGTATCCACCCAGAGGCATCGTCTCGTCGCGATCTTCTTTGTCTATTGAGTTTGAACGTATTTCGTCCAAAGAGTTGGACATGGGAATGGCACGTCGCCTTCGCATAGCTGGGAGGTCCCACCAGGAGGTGATCCCCACATCAGTTTTTTTTGGTTGGACGGGGGCTGGAGCTGGAGCTGATTCCTTGGCCCCAAAATAGTCAGGTGAGGATGACTTTTTAGCAGCACTGACTGCCTCTAGGGAACTCTCTCTTAGAGTCTCATCCCCCAGGGAAACCTCGTGCTCGTGCTCGTTTATGTGACTAAGAAAGTGCTTTCCTAGTTCCCGTTGAGCCTGGAGAAAATCGCTCGCCACGTGACCTGTTCTGGAATGACGTCTTCTGACAGTGGGCACGGGCTCTACATCTTCTTCGGGTTCCTCCACGGGCTTTGGTTTCTCTGAATTATTTTTAGCAATTGTGGCTTTGCTGGAGAAGGGCTCTGGGAAGAGCAGAGAATTGAGAGTGGCTCCCAGGTTCAACCTCTTATTTGTCTTGGGAGCTGGCAGTGCTTCAAAGAACTCAGTGGGTAGCAAACGAAGCTTTTTACGTCCTTCAGACGGTTCTGGCTCTGGATCATGTTCCGGTTCTTCCTCTCTTTGGATAATTTTCAACTGACTCTTGGATTTGGATTTTCGTTTCTTGGGAATTACAACTTCCGTTTCTGGTTCATTTTCTTCCCCATCTATACTTTCAATATGCTTCAAATGGACATCACCATCGGGAAGACGAGTGTAGGCTGGTGGCTCCTCTGGCTGTTCTCCGAGCTTCTTGAAGAACTTCTCCTCGTCGAACTCATCAAAGTCAAAGAGTGGTTTCTTCTTCGTCTCTGGCTTCCGAATCTCTGTGATTTTTTTGGTCATGGCTGTCTTTTTACCGTTTCGATTGTAAAAGTATGGACCCGAGTAGCTGGAAGTACTACGCCTTGATCTGCGGTTTACACCCTGGGCTTGCTCGAATACTTGGTTGAACCAGGCTAAGGCTTGTGGAACATTCACGGACTGATGGCTAGATTTGATGGCGCTGTCCAATGCCTCCCTCTTGGCAGGCTTCGTATCCCGGAAGGTCTGCATCAGGCGATCCAATAGGTTTCTTGGTCTCTCGTCCTCATCCAGGACAAAGCGTCGGTTTCGGTTGAAGGAGCTCTGTACTGCACCTCTAGCTACAGCTGTTTCCTCTATCAATCGCTGGAGCAGTCGATCGGCGGAGCTGTATCGGGAGGAGCGACGTTTCTCCGTCGAGGAGTCTCCACTTGTCGGAGCCTCCTCTTCAGCCTCAATCTCCGAAAACTGGCAATGCTCCAGATTGACGTCGGGTAGAACCCAGAATCCCACCGACATACTCGGAGTGATTAGCTGCAGCTGTTTGCTAGCATCATTTTCCTTGATCAAAGGTCGCAGTGTCGAATTCAAGTGCAATCGCACGTTGTTGAGTTGCACTCGCTGATCCAAGCTGGTCAGAACATACTGCCAGATTTCCTTGCCGGCCAGGCGACTGGGGCTCCTCACCGTGATCGTGGTGGGCTGGTCCTCCGTATTGACCACCATGAAGGCCAGACCTCCGGATACGGCATTGGCGCAGTGCGTGTATAGTTTGTTGCTGGGAGAGAACACATTCAAGGGTCTCGCTGGGAATACCCTTGAACCCATGACCTTCTTGAACAAAGCCGTCACATACAGGCTGAAATTGGGACGCTCAAAGTCCTGCACAGTCATGCGCTTGAAGACCACATCGAAACCACTGCTGGCCGCATCCCCCAAAGTCTGGGCCCAGCGCAGAGCATCCGTAGTCTCATCACCCACCAATCGCTCCGACGATCGCTCCTCCGGCAGGCTCAACCACAAGGGAACACGCTGCTGCTGCAAAATCCTCAAAGCCGGATCGCTGTCGTACAGAAAACTTCCCAGACTGGTCTTGGGAAGCATGTTGGCAGGCCTTAAATACAGGTCAAGTTAGGATCTTGAACATAAATGGTTACATTAGATTGTGGCACTTACTGCGTCCATCCAAAGGCAGAATTCAGATCCTTAGAAGTGTCTACATATCTTCTTGTTTCATCAGCACTGCTTCCTGCTGAAATGTCCGCCCCCATGATCCGCCAATCATCCACGTACGGCTTGAAAGTATCCGTCATCAGCTTGAGAGTGCGCAGCTCCTGGACGTAATCCTTGGCCCTTGAAGTTCCGAAATCCGTGCCCAATTGCCAAATGCAGTCGGTGATGCCCACCATGTAGGAAGTGTTAAGGATCTTAAGGGTGTGCATGGAATCCCATTCGTCAGGGGCATATGGCACGGGTATGATCATGGTCCAATTTACGGCTCTATGGAGTATTTATCCAAATTAATATTGGCTTTAAAATTCTATATAACATAAATACCGTGTCCATCGGTTGAAACCTTTCCAGATAATCTTGGTGGGATTCCGCAGACGAGTGGGTGCATTGCTGGCGAAATAAAAGTCCCCAACAAACTTAATGTGAGCATCCCCTAGGAGAGTGGCCATATTCGTCACTGCTTTCCGGTTTTTTCCATCCAGGGCATCGTACAGGTCCTCCGGTCGCACGGCGAAACTGACAAACTTTTCGTTAACATCGTTGTAGGGACGATTCACATGCAACTGGACAAGAGTATCCGCCCTGCTCCACTCCAATAATCCCAGTAAAAGGACAATCACAGGTAGTAGCCACATTGTCGTATTTGTATCCAGAGTTCGAGATAGAGACCTCTCCGTAGCTCGATGGCACTGCAACTGACCGGAGGTTTGCTTAGACTCCGTCTAAATAAACTCCAGGTGTGCAGATTCGCACCTTTGCACTTCTAGCGAGTTTTGCTGCCCTCGGCAAGAATTTTCCGCTGAGCGGTGCCCTCAATGCGATGACCTTTTCGCATAACCGAATCTTTGAAACTGGGTTGGAATGCTATGTTTATCAATGAACCGTAAGTTGACCCACTAAGGTTGGGGTTAGACTCTAAAATACTGTATTTCAATGCATCCTCGTCCACGGTCAAGAGTATGTTAGAACACAAAGTACGTGAATTTTGGGAAAAGTCGTTAAAAAAATATATCTTGGCCAACTGAAAAAGAAGCAACCGACAACCACGCTAAAGTGTTTGGTTGCTTTTGATGACACATAGGGTTTCGGGTTACAATTGGTGCTTACAATTACGTGTATAATACGGTTCGCCTCTCCCAATCAAATTATTTAGAAATAACTTTTGGAATGCACTTTTATTTAAAATTATAGTTTCAAATAAGACCCCTCTCAAGGGTGGATATGATTCTTCTAATCATCCTCAACGACAACCAAGATATCCTTGAAGCAGAAGGGAGTGAACGGATACCCAGCTCCAGTATAGAACTTGCTCATGAACTCCACCCAATGAAGTCGCAGGGTGTGCAGGAAGGCGGACAGGCCCTCCATCATCACCATGATGGCGAGTGTGAAAAACTCCCAAACGGCAAAGATGAAGAACAGCCCAATAGCACCCACATAGCCATTCATTTGCAGACCCATGGCCAGCACCATGGTCCAGAGTACCTCGGAAAGCTCTGTAATATAGATGTCTTAAACAACCATTGTTTTTTTTTAAATAAATAAATACTTACGGGCATGAGCCAGGGACAGAGCCCAAAGACGCAGATAAGAAGCTGTGTGGGAAATGGTACTAAGGATGTACTCGATGGTGTGAATAGCCTGATGAATCCAAATCTCACTCATCGGCTCATCATCCTCCTCACTGTGGCCGCCAGACTCATGGGACTCAGCGACTTCAGTTATGATGATCTCCTTTCCGGTGGTGATCTCAATTTTTTCAACTACTTCGTCCACCTCCACGACAGGACCAGCGGGCTGGGAAGATTGCGAAAGTTAGTTTAGTTTTAAGTTGGTTAAGAACTTACCCTTCCACGGCGCTGGAACTTTATGTACAGGGGCTTTCCCAGTAGAATCCAAGGGATGCACAAGATGGCCACCACAAAGAAGATCATTTCGAGTTGTCGTTGAATGGGGAACATGTTGACCTCACAGCCAGGACTGGCAGTCTCGGTTTTGAAAAGAACCATGTCAATGAACATAATCAGAACTGACGGAGCACATCCGGGGGTATTGGCCAGCACATCGGTGGTGGGACTGTACTTCACCCACTTGTAGAACATCATGAAGCACATGTATCCGAACATGAGCAGCAGGAACATAACCTGAGGCACGAACTGCAGGAAAATATAGGCGTATTTCTTGAAGAAGACAAAGTTCTCCACCGACAGACAGACACCAAAAGTCATGTGCAGCACTCCGAAGATGATGGATAATTTCATCTTGTAGGTGTTGAGGAAAATGATCTTGTTAGAGGCCGACTGCCAAATGGGATCAATACCCATGGGATAGACACCTCGTGTAGCCACCGAGGGATTGAGTGTCAGGGTAGGATTGGTCAACACGGTAGTTCTGTTGTAAACGTTGACCCACCGGGTACCGAAGACATTGATGGACTTTGAAAATATGTCGTTGTAATGGAATCCCGTGTACATGGCAAACAATCCCATTAGCATGATGATGTAGCGACCAGCAAAGAAAATGTTCCAGATCTCGCCTCCTCGTTTCTTGCTCAGGCGTGTTTCGTCCACGACCATCCAGAGACCCAACAGGAACAGGATCGTACCGTGACCCATGTCTCCAAACATCACGGCAAATAGAAAGGGGAATGTGATGCAGGTGTACAGACCCGGGTTAACCTCGCGGTAGTTGGCTATTCCGTAGGCATCAATCAGATTTTGGAATCCTCGAGTGAACTTGTTCAAAGGGAAGTGGGTTGGGGGCTCTTTTTTGGTGTCCAAGACATTAATGAACGATGGTATGGTGCTGCCTACGGTTGCGGATCCCACGGCTAAGGCGGCCTCCACCTGGTCAAGATCACGTTTGGGCACCCAACCCTCTCCAATCAAGCACTTGCTGCCCAAGTCCACATTGAAAAGGTTCAGGGTGTGATAGATGGCCTTCATTTTCTTGATCGAGGCAGTCCAGTTGGGCAATTGCTTCAGGGCCGCTTTGAGGACACAAGTCCTGTGGTCACTAGTTTGGTTGATGATCGCCTGGAGATCGTCCAGTCGAGTCTTTACATTCTTCACCATCTCCTGGCGCTCGCCATGCGAACTAGGACAGGGATACATGTGGGCGTGGAAGCCATTGCACACTTTCCTTATCCTGGCCTGCAACTGGTCACCCTGGAAGAAGACCACGAAGATGCTCTTGTAAAGGACATTTCCAGTTTTCGGATCCGTCAGCGGAACGTCCACTTCGCACTTGCGGAGGAAGACATTGCCTCTGGAAATGCGCCACAGCATCCGCTCGAAGGCAAACTCCCTTTCGCGATTAATTACTCCTGCCACGAATCCGAGGCGACCGTTGGACTGTTCCGGGTCTCTATGGGTGCCTCGTTTGTTCAAGTCGAAGTTGTGTGACTCCTGCTCAGAGAAGAACTGATCGGTGCGCTCCAGGACCTGGATCATCTCTGTTAGCTCCAGAAAACTGGTCTGAAGGTTGACATTGTTGGCGGCCAGTTCCATGATCTCTGTCTCGGTCTTCTCCAGCAGGGACTCCAGCTCAATTATTTCACGTGGCTGGGGGGCCGGTGGGAAGTCATCAATGAGGTCTAGCACCTTGTGACCTTCCTTGGCCAGCTCTGAGATTATATAACGAATACGTCTCTCGAGCTCGTCACAGCGACGGACTTCGCCAATGAACTTGCGCTGCTGGGCATTTACCTTTTCATTCAACTGCATTTATAAAACGAGGAAGATTAGTTTAGCTTTATCCATAATTTTATCCTTGGGGAGACTCACATCACGAAACTGGACACAGCCCACTTCGCCCAGAGCAGCAAGGGTATCGTAGGCTGCCTCTGGTTGCAAATACATTTGCACCAAGGACATCACCTCACTCCGAAAAATGCTTTTGCTCTCCTCATGAGAGCCAAAGCTCCACCACTTGGACATGGTTGCTGATCCTTCTGCTCCTTCTGGGAGTAATAAATACGAACCGAAACACGAACCGCACCTTCGAACTGCAGGTGACGGACTGATCGGTCTGGTCAAGTGATTTCAACGGGAAGGCTTCTGTGGTAATAGCTGACCCACGAGCAACCTCAAGGCTTATCAGCGAGGTGGAGCAGTCGTGGATAAATATTAGGGGAACAGGTGCCATCCATCAATGTGAGGGAATGTCCATTTCCCCCATTTCAGCCAGACTTCTTTCCTTATCAACTGATAGTTTCCTATATCTACTCCTATACCAGTTGGCATTAAAAATCAATTACTAGATAATTACGAAGTGGTTGCCTTATTACAAGAAACTGCATATATGAAACATTATAATGGTGCCTTGAATTAAACTTAATAAATATTTTTTAAACATAAAACCCCGAATTACAATAAAATTTTTGTATAATCTCTCTTGGAGGATATAAAAGTGATTTTAAAATTAAAATGTTTAATTTTTACTCATTTCAGCCTATATACAAATTAATAAAACCCTAAAACTATGCTACAACAATGCATACGATTTTATTTATAATATATCCCCAAAAGGCGTAATTTTTATTAAAACCTGTCATATCAACTTAAAAGCTTATTATATTAATAATCAAAATAAGAAATAAAACAAATTGGCTGTTCTCTTCTTTGCTGCATATTTATTATAATTAGTATAAGTATTTATTTATAACAATCAATATCAAATTATTGCTTTTGAAACCGTTTTTGAGAATACTAGGCACAACTCAGGTGAGGAATACTTTAAAAACACTTGGAATACAAAAAAATGTGGGAAGAGCACCACAATACTGACAAAATCCAAAAAAATAAACAAAAAAACAAAAACATTTAACAAATAATCGGGGGGAAAACAAAGTTCGCTGATAATTGTACATAGTTTGAGCACATAGAGAAGGATTTACTCCTCATCCTCGCCATCCAGGATGGCCTTGAAGCTGAAGGGCTGGAAGGGGTAGCCCAGACCCTCGTAGAACTTGCTCATGAACTCCACCCAGTGCAGACGCAGGGTGTGAAGGAAGGCAGACAAACCCTCCATCAGGACAAGGATGGCCAGGGTGAACAGGCACCAGGCGCCAAAGATGAGGAACAGGCCGATGGCACCGCCCACACCAGACATCTTCAGACCCAGGGACAGCACCATGTTCCACAACACCTCGGAAAGCTCTGCAAAAAGTAGAAATAAATTAAATCCAGAAAAAAGATACTGGCTCTGGCAGAAACTTACGAGCATGGGCCAAAGACAGAGCCCAGAGACGCAGGTACGAGGCAGTGTGAGAGATGGTACTGAGCACGTATTCGATGGTGTGGATGGCCTGGTGGATGTAGATTTCGCTCATGGGCTCATCGTCATGGCCATGGGCGCCACCGCCAGCACTCTCCTCGTTTCCGGAGAACCCAGTGGGCAACGGGGTCTCGCCTTCAGCCAACTCCATGTTGCCAGTCAACTGACCATTGTGGTTGGCCTGTGGGAAAATGAAGACTTACTAACAACCAATTACATATTTCTACAACACACTTACGTGAGCTTTGTTCTTTCGTGTGAATTTGATGTAGAGAGGCTTGCCCAACAGCATCCAGGGGATGCAGCACAGACCGATGAGGACAAAGACCTTCTGCAGGTCGGGCTGGGCCTCGAACATGAACTCATTGCATCCCTTGGGGGGAGGAGTGTTCTTGAACAGCATCATGTTGATGAACATGATCAGCACGGAAGGAGCGCAGCCGGGGGTCTCGGGCTGGAAGCTAGTCTTGGCATTGTAGCTGACCCACTTGAAGAACCTAAACAATCAAGCAAAAAAACGGATTAAATATAAACGAAATCTATGTTATTTCAACTCTAGTACTTACATCATGAAGACCATGTACCCGAAGAGCAGCAACAGAAACAGAATCTGGGGCACAAACTCCAGGAAGATGGAGGCCGGGCGCTTGAAGTGGGTGAAGTTAACCACCGACATGCACACACCGAAGACCATATGCAGCACTCCGAAAATGATGGAGAGCTTCATCTTGAAGCTGTTGAGGAAGATGATCTTGTTGTCAGCCAACTGCCACACGGGATCGAGTCCGAACGGATACACGCCTTGGGCAGAGGAGTTGGGTGGAAGCTGCAGAGATGGGTTATGCAGAACGGTGGAGTTGTCGTAGTTGATAAACCATCGTGATCCAAATACGTTCATCGACTTGGAGAAGATGTCGTTGTAGACGAATCCAGTATAGCAAGCAAACAGACCCATGAGCAAAATGATGTAACGACCGCCGAAGAAGATGTTCCAGATCTCACCACCGTTGCGGATGCGAGCCAGTTTCTTTTCGCTGAGCACCATCCAGGCACCGAACAGGACCAGGATCAGGCCGTGGCCCAAATCGCCGAACATCACAGCGAACAAGAAGGGGAAGGTGATGCAAGTGTACAGTGCGGGATTGCACTCCCTGTAGGAGGCCACACCATAAGCATCAATCAGGTTCTGGAAGCCACGAGTAAATTTGTTGGTCCTGTTGAAGGTCGGTGGCTGCTCGTTGGTATCGATCACGTTCAGGAACGAGGGAATGGTGCTGCCCACGGCGGCGGATCCGTCCGACAGAGCCTTCTGCACAACAGGCAGATCCTTGGTTGGCACCCAGCATTCGCCGATCAGGCACTTCTTGGTCACGTCCATGTTGAACAGATTGAGCGTGTGGTAGATGGCCTTCATTTTCTTGACCATGATCGACCACGACGGCAGGTTCTTGGACACGGTGGCCAGAACACGGCTACGATGATCCTCAGTCTGGCTGAGCACCAGCTTCAGATCTTCCAAGCGAGTGCGGACATTGCGCACCATCTCCTCACGCTCGTTGTGCGAGCTGGGACAAGGGTACAGGGAGGCGTGGAATCCAGTGCACACCTTCTTGATGCGGTTCTTCAGCTGCTCGCCCTGGAAAAAGGCCACGAAGACGGTCTTGTAGATGGGGTGACCAGTGGCTGGATCATTCAGGGGCTCATCCAGATCGGAGCGCTTCAGGAAGACGTTGCCCCTAGAGATACGCCACAACATGCGCTCAAAGGCGAAGACACGCTCCCGGTTGATCACACCAGCCACGAATCCCAGGCGACCACGGTGTTGGGCGGTGGCCTCATCTACTCCGCCGGCACGGTTGGTGGAGTCCAGGTTAAGCACCTCCTGGTCAGAGAAGAAGCCCTGGGTGTTCTCCAGAACCTTGCGCAGCTCGGTGAGCTCCAAGTAGTTGGACTTCATGTTGACCTCGTTCTGAGCCAACTCAATCATCTCCGACTCGGTCTTCTCGAGGTGGGCCTCCAGATCGATGATCTCACGTGGATTGGGGGCACGGGGAATGTCATCCTGGATGTCGGGCAACACAATGCCGTCCTTCTTGATCTCCGTCTCGATGTACCGGATCTTCCTCTCCAGTTCATCGCAGCGCCTCACTTCGGTCACGAACTTCCTCTGGAAGGCGTTCACGTTGACATTCAACTAGAGGTTAGAAATAATATGAATTATTTTGTGTCTTTTTCAAAGATGTAATCCTTGCTTACGTCGCGGAACTGCACACAGCCGGTTTCACCCAGCTCCGAGACGGAGGTGTATGCGGCCTCCGGCTGAATGAACATTTGGCACAGGGCCATTTCCTCACTTCGGAACATGTCCCCCATCTTGGCGACTGTTTACGTTCCCTGTGGATGAAACAAACATAAGGTGGAAAGAATGGGTTAGTTTCAACATTTCGCATTCCGCAGACTAGCAATTAAAATAAAGAATAGCTAGCCACCATGATTTGTTTTCGGCGTGGTCCTCGAAAAAATAAACAACAACGTAGAATTTAGGTATCATACACTTGATGTTACCATTTAATTTTCTCCAAAATATGTGAATCTTCAAGGAAATTTTTTTTATTTTTTAAAATTAGACACAAAAGAAATAATTAAATACCTCTGATATAATATAATTTCTTTTAGTGCACATAAAAGCGTCTTCACTCCCAATAAAAGCATATATGTATGTATATTTATCTACAAAATTCTCTGGCTGGCTTTTCTAGCCATTTAATTTATTTGTCTTTCATTTGTTTTTCTTTGGTGTGGAAAGACAATCACTCTATTTTCAGTTCCATATGGTGCTCGAAATTGGCAGAAGCTCATCATTTGGTAGGTTTTCCGCCTAGATGGAGAGTTCTACCAAAAAATTCAATAAAAGCCACTGCTCAATACACTTTGGGTTCTCAGGTCACGTTCATAACGAATTTAACAGCAACAGCACGTAACTTCGATTTGATCGTTAAAAAAATATATACATTTTTAGTTACTATTCGAATATCTGAATCTAAACCAGTAATAAAATATGCTTTGGGTTTTCTAATTTTTTAGATTACTTAATCATACTTGTGATTGTACAAATACATTATTAGCTAAAGCCTACGTCATACAAGAACTTTTTTGTTGCTGACCACAAAATCACTCATAAAGGAAATGAAAAATTTTTTTCAACAAAAAAAATGGTTGGGATTTATACACTTCGTTCCGAGATTTTTTCAAGTTTCATATTTGCTGATATAGAGGCAGCTGCTCTAAAAATGTCCCTCTCACTGTTTACTTTATGTCGCAATCGTGAGTTATTTGCTTAAGCTATCTAAAAATTCCCTGCAATATTATTTACAGCTCAAGAAAACACTTCTTATCGCCTTTTCGCCTTATGATGCACTCTTCCAAGTTCCAAGTAAAACTCACAAAAAATATTACAGCCAAAACATATGCGGGCATATAGAAAAAACATACAAGGGTCGAATAATGGCTGAACAAATGTACTGATAATTAACTCTTTATCGAAAAGTACCAGGCCGTGTGCAAATGGAGTTGACTACTCCCAAAATCGGTGGAACTGTGATAATGTAAGCAATTACTGTCTTTGATTTAATTAGGTCGCCACTCTGAAGTGACGCACTCGTGTAGGGGGTGGGGCAGGTCCTGGGCAGGGCATTGGTCTGGGGTCTGGTCTGCACTCGAAGACCATTTTGCCCAGAATGTTCACAGTCAACGACATGACGACGTCAGCCTCGCACATTATCGAACTTTAATGGGTCCCTGGTCCCCATTATGGTTCCCGTACCCCCTTTCAGTCAGGAGCTTTTGCTTTTTCGCTTTAGATATAAAACGTATGATGTGTTATATGTACTACATAATATCACATATATAATATATATGTATATGTTTGTACACAGACAACATGCACTGAAAAAATTGTATAATAATTTTAATAACAACTAATTTTACTATATCTCAAGCAATACTTTTCAATAAATTTAAACAAAGTACATTTAGTACAAATATCTAATAGTATGCATTTGTGCTCACTTCTCAGTGTAGGGACTTTCAAGTCATTTGTAAAACAGCATTAAAATAACAAACGATGGCCCCAGACAATTGGCCAAGAGCCAAATGGAAGAGGACGTCATAGATGGCCAACGAAATACCCCAGCCATTGTTGCCTGCTTTTAGATTCATCAATCACATGGGCCAACATTTGCAGTAGCTAATGTCGGATTTGAACAGGGGATTCGCGTTTCCCCCATGGCATGGACGGTATCAAGTTCTCCGGGGAATGCGATCCACTTGATGCGCCCTATCGCCTGTTGCTTCCCTTGCCGGCTCATATCTTGTGAACTGTGCTAGCCTTTTCAGTTTTTTTTTCGCTTACTTTGGCACTTTTATCAGTCCAACAAATAAGTGGAATGGAGCTTTGTTGTTCTTCTCTCGCGTTTTATGAGCAAGAGCCAATAGCTGGGGTGTCGCCAGAACGCTAATTATAGCAGAGTCATGAAATTCGCAGCCTTAATTGCTCTTACTATTAATTACGTACATATATGGGGCCATTTGCGGGTCATTAAAGATGATTTTCGAGTGTGAGCTGGCCCAGTGTTTCTACATTCATATTTTTATCGGCTTATTAGCAGACTATTGGCGTGTGGCTAAAACAGAAGCGTTGGGAAAACACCTTCATTATGGACGGGTTTCCAATAAAATGCGGCTATTGCCAATAACTACTAGACCCTATATACGTTGAAGGCTATTAGAACTGTAAGCCATTTTGAAGAGTTATCAATGCAAACAGACCAAAATAAATGGCTTGTAGTTTTAATTGAATCAACGATAGATTAAGGTTTTAATAAAATGCCGGTCCTTTGAAGTCTTTATCGCCTTCCAAGGCGGAAATTTGCTTAGCCCGGACACGAACCAATACAGTCACCGCTAAATGATATGCGGGCAGGTGTTAATATATAAGTATATACTGCCTGTACATCCATATATACAGCTTGAACATTCCACAAACAATGCAATTGGGTATAGACTAAATTCCCAGACTAGCAGAGCACTTCATTGTAAATATTTATTTACTTCTGATTCAGTTTGTAATTGAAATTTTATAAACATTCACGGTAGCCAGAACTTAGCCAGACGATTGTATTTCAAAACCAGTTAACTGAAAGCAGGTAACTCAGATGTAACTCGCCTGTTGGACTGCTTTTTGATGATTCGACGAGGGCACTTTCGTTTTAATAAATTCAACAGAAATTAAACGAATGAATATCCAATTGCCCAGCACAACACGCACTGCTCGAACACGAAAAAAACACTGAAACTGAGTGGCCGAAAACAAAAATTGAAATAAAATTGAGGCGGCGGTGGCGATAGCGCAGCTGAATCAACCGATGTGAGCTAACTGTAAACCAGTTCAACTTCAAAACAACAACTAAGCGCTAAGCAACGTTGCCAATGCCGTTTGCTCCACCCTGCTCTCCCGCCTCCACCCCCTGTTGGCTGGTCATTTTCGTGAGTGGACTCGGGTGTGCGTTTGTATGTGTGGGTGTAGGCCACCGCTATATACAGTCTAGCTTCCATAAGCTTACTCAGTATGGGTTGAATATATATGAATCTTTTCAATACTCTACTAATTTAACGATTTTGAAATTCATCTTTAGAGATCGCTTTTCATATTAAAGCATACTTTCGAGCAGCTTAGATACATTTCCATCTCAAAAATCTATCTGATCATCTGGTCACCCATCTCTGATAATCTCTAAATTTTATAGTCTCAACAAAAATATATAATTTAATTTAAAAAAAAAGTCGAATATTATTAGTAAAACACACTTAACCACGTCTAACTGTAGCTTATATGCTACGATTGTTATTAGTGTTGCTCCTGGCTGACACACGCGAATTGTGGGTGAGCCTTAATCACATTTAATCGAAGTGAGAGAGGCAGAGGATGGGGAGACGTACAGTCAGAAAGAGAACGTTGACATTGACAACCCCCTTTTTGGGGGAGCGGCCCACGCCCATGTGCGGGTAGGCTAATATCGCTACGAAGTTTCGTCAACTTTTTCGCTCTGTTTTGTTTGTTTCTCTCACTGAGCTTCCCTCTCGCTGCTATTTGTTTTTAATTCGTTTACGAACTTCTACTTTATGTACCATGCCTTGTACTCAATTTTATGACAATTTCATTTTTTCCACTGCGGGTAATTAAGAACCTCGCCAATGTATATAAAATCACTATGTACTGTGCGTATGTACATACATCATTGGGACACATATGGTGGCGATCGCACGGCTCAAGGCGGTAGAAATATATACATATTTACATACATACATATGTACCATATACATATGTACCAGATGTACCATATACAACAGACCCTCACTCATCGTTTATTAACGCAAATTGTCGATTGATTTTCTAAAACTCAGTACCTCGAGCTTTAAAAGCCCTTTTCAGGCAAGTTAATTATCCCTAGAATATCCATCGAAACAACCTACAATGTTATAACTTTTGAGAAAAGCTTTGCTCTTCCTGAAACCTGATAACCTGAACCCCATCCTGGGATCTCAATGGAAAACTTTATTCAATATTAACTGCAGTGATTGAAAGGCAATGCCTGATTATTGCCTAAAGGCTGGCACTGGAGTTACGTAACTGGAGATCACGGCTCGAGTGCAGGGGTATTATAAATTAATACCCTAGACGGCGACCACTTGTGAACGAAATACTATATACTCCAGATCAGGGATTTCTAGATTTCTCGACCCGTTCAGATTTTCCATTCATAAACGGTGCCCGCTGCTTTGGCTAATCAGCAAAAGTTGATTGATCGGTGGAAGTACTAAAGAAAATTTATAGAGCAATCCATAAATCATAATCGACTGGAATTTATTGGCTGCTATTTGCAGCTACTTGAGGTACTCAAGTCCAGCTTTATTATTCTTGGGTGCGCTGTTTCTGTTTCCTCTCCAGAAGAAAATAAAAAGATTTTCCAGGCAGCTGCAGAGGAGCCTCGCTCGAAAAGATCACATGATACCTGATGATTGCATAAAACTCGAAAACTCGCGACTCTGTAAGAGAGCGCGACTCACAGATACTCGCAACACTCATACTGACTCACCCCGCTACTGACATTGGGTGCGTATCTGAGAGATACCCGCGGTTTCAGCTAGAGATAGAGCTACTGTAGCACAAGTACGAGTATCTGAGTATCTCGCGCTCTGACTTTAGCTGTGACTTTTGGCAGGTGGGAGCGGTGTTTGCAAAGTGGGTCCCATGACAGGTGAATCGCCCCCCATGACCCTCCCCTCAGTAGTCGCTGTCATTAGCCAGATATCACGTGCCGTAAGTGCAGTCAATGTTTTTTGTCTGGAAATTCTGGTCCACTCCCTAGCTTTTAAAGCACGTGTTTGAATTACAATTTTGTTGGCCAGAAACTAGACGACACACTTTTTTCGATACAAGACGGACTGCCTTGAACCCGCTCTGGCCGGATTATTTGGTCAATTCGCTTACCTTCTCAGCTCCGAAAACGCTTTTTAATGTCAGAGACACCAGATTCGATTCCCGCGAACGATAAATTTAGAACTTGTTTGTTGCCGAGCGAGAGTATCTGTATCCGTGACTGCTGTATTTGTATCTCAAGCGGAGAACACGTCTGCCCGCCGCAAGCGATCGTCTGCGTTTAAATTTGGCACTGGCTGCGGCGATCCGAGTTCCCCAAAGATGTAGTGCCTGTAGTCCGTATCGTCGACTCACCACTCTCTCGGTTCTCTCGGGAAACGGGCATGCTAACTATGTATGATCAGGGCTGTTATCAGGCATTAGAAATCGAAAAATACTCGTACTAAAGTCGAAATCCTCGAGTGGAACAAATGTTCAAATGTCCGCATTGCGTAGCCACCCTCCTCGATGCCTCCCTGCGATCAAAGGCACTATCAATTTAAATTAATAACGCTTCAACCAAGTAATTCCCTGGTCTAGATAAGACAAGTTGATATTGACAGTTGTTTGTTTTGGTTTTGTCAGCATAATAAATCGAACCTTTTGTCGAATCGGGCCTAGCAACTTGGCTAAGGTGAAGAAGGACACTAGCCAGACTAAATCGATCTATCTCGGAAATAAATAGGAATTGATAAAAATAAACGTTCCCTATTTCTATTTCTGTATATCTTTCCACTCGAGACTGTCTTTGCTTTCAATAACAATTGATCATTTCCTTCCCATTATACATTTCACTTTCTTACTAATCTTGTAAGGAATCTTGTTTAAAATTTAATTTTATTTGTATTTAAAAAAAAAACATAACTCAAAGATATACAATTTTTTAAATTTGATTAAATATTTAAAAATTTATGTTCTCTTAAATTTGAGTTTATTATTAAGCTTACGTTTTGAAAAAAACACTTCAGCTATGCTTCTCCGAACTGTAGTATGCTTAATCTTCTCCGATATTACAGTTATTAGGATGTCTAAGATGTAGTACATTTTAAAAATTAATTAAAATTTAAATAAAAATCAACAGGTGCCATTCACAACGAAAGAGGATGACGCGTTAGCCTTTCCCCTACATTAGTAACTACGGTCACACCTTACCTTTGTTTTGATCATTATATTCACTAATTTTTTCGCACTTTTAAAACGCATTTAACTTAGTCCAAAATTATCGGAAAGGATGTCCAATGCCGGCTACAGCCAGCTGCCTAGCGGCAGTGGCGACCACGAGCGACGACAGGCTCAGCTGGTGGCCAACACCTATGACGTGCTCCAACGAACAGGCGAGAGTATCCAACGTTCCAACCAGATTGCCATCGAAACGGAGAATATGGGGGCGGAGGTAGGTTCGAGGAAGCTGCCAAGCTTATAAACTTTAAATAATCCTTGCTCTCCTTAGGTTCTAGGCGAGCTGGGAGAGCAGCGAGAGTCTCTATTGCGCACCACGCGCCGATTGGAGGATGCCAACGAGGATCTTTCCAAGTCTCGAGCCATCATTCGGAAGCTGAGTCGGGAAGTGCTTTATAATAAGATCATTCTAATACTCATTATCGTGCTGGAAGTGGGCATCCTTATCGGGCTCCTGGTGCTTAAGTTCGCGCACCTGTAGAAGCTCTGTATTCTCTGGTTATTATATTCCAAAGACACGGCGGATTGTGGTCGTATTTAAATCGTTATAGCTTGTATCCATTTGCCTTAACTGTAAGCTACTGTATATTTGATTTGTTAAGAAAATGTAATTAAAATAATATATCTATAGGTTTTTGCTTTGATTCACTTAACTCCAAAAAAAACAAACATAATTTATGATATACCCAGCTATAAAACGGGCTATTGATTATGTTTATTCAATGTTTGGTATAACGTCAATGCCTTAGACACCTAAAATATGTATTTGATAATAAAACACAGATAAAATTGGAACTGGAAGTCCTCATTCGCATCCCCCGTACCCCACCGATTCCAATCCCAACCCCCATGTATATGCTATAACAGTGATAGTGTGTAGTACATGCAGCACGTGAAATGCCACGACTATTTGGCAAAAGCAACGATAATTACACTCATAGGGCGACATATAGATTCTAAAACATCTTGAATAGTGTCTGCATAATACTTGATACTTGATCTATAATAAACGGCTACACATAAGTACGAGCATCCCTGCAGAATGGTCGTTTCGAGATACAAGACATGTTGCGGAGCACGGCTCCTGCTCCTCCTTTGTCCCTATTTTTCATTTAAAGCAGCTCACTGCTTCAGCCACCTTCAATTGTCCTTCGGCAGGACGATGGACCAGCCAAAGACGCGACGATCGAAGCCGCAGGAGAAAAGGTCGCAATCCAACAAAGGTTCTTCCGCCCAGGCCACCGACGACACCATGCGCCGGTGGCCCTGCCGACTGGTTCTTGGTAACCTGGCCACACGTTGGCCATTCAAATCAAAGAGACGAATTTGTCGATTGTCATGTGGGATGGCAATTATTCCTCCAGTGGAGACGGCTAATCGATTGACTGAGGAATCCGTGCGAATTGTGGCGAGGGCGGAGCGCATGTTGCGCAGTTCCCATACTTTAATAGTCCGATCATCCGACCCGGACACAACCTTGTCGTCCCTGGCGAAAACACTCGACGTGACCGTTTCTGTGTGGCCCTGAAAGACAGACACTGCAGGAATGGCCTCGCGGAAATCCCACAGACGGAACGTGGTGTCCCTAGATGCAGTAACGACTAGTCGCTGTGTGGGATGGGCCGAAACGTGAGTTAATTCATGGTCATGGCCAGTAAGTGGCTGAAGCGGCTGTCCAGTCTCCACGTCCCAAAGAATGGCTGTCCTATCCCAGCTGCCTGTGATGATCTGATCCATAGAGGAAAGCCAGTCGGCTGCCACAACCACAGAAAGGTGACCACCTGGGCCAGTGAATTCGCAAAGCGGTGTGCGAAGGGTGTCCACGCGATCACGGTCTTCAACCTGTTCGTCGCTATCGTCTAACTCCTCCTCGGATGAGTGCCCCTTTCTGAATGATTGATTTATCCAGTTAAAGATTTGTTAATAGAGATTTTCTAGATTACTTACTTGGGCACCTCCCAATTAACGGCCGCTTGCCAGATGTGAGCAGTGCCATCTCCACTCCCGGTAAGCACAAGATCCCGTTGCTGGTGAAACTTTATAGAGTTGACAGATCCTGCGTGCCCCTGATACTGTAGCAGGCACCTGGCACTTTCGACGCCCCATATGCACGCTGTATGATCAGCGGAGGCTGTGCCAATAATAGGCTGACCTGCCTTGGCGGCCACCTGCCAGATTCCGTCCTTATGACCTGCAAACTCTCGCACCACCGTGCTGACCACCGTTGGGGCTTTGAAGCTGGAAACAATGCGACTGGTCTGTGCCTTGATCTTATTGCTGGCCTTAGCCTTACTGCCTCCGGTGGCGCTACTCAGCTTGGCCTTCAGAGTCTTGTGCGTGCTAGACGCAGCGGCAGCCAAGAAGCTGGCGCCTCCATCATCCGTTTGAATGGGTGGCGTCGCTAAGGCTGTGGACGATGGCTGAGTAGTGATTACTCCGCCGGCGGTGGATCGCTGCTCTTGCTGAGGTTCCTTTGCGTCCTTGTTGCTTGTGACATTGTCCAACTTTTCCTGCACTGTAATTATTGAATACTATAGAGTACGGACTACTTCAGGAATCAAAGGATACTTACAGCTTTGATTCTCCAGGTAAAGCTGCTCGAACTCCCGTTCAATCTGGGTGAAGAGGTAATGAAGGCGAGCCCGAAACGGTGCATCCTCGGGCACAGCAGTCACATCTTCCGTCAAGCTGGTCAATCGAGCAGCTCGGGATTTGGTTGCTTTCATCTTAAGATTCAGTTTTCCTTCTTTGTTTTGTGTATCTGGTAAGCGTTTCAAGCGGTCCAAGTTTTCCGCTTCCTGGGGTTTGTTGGGGTCCAAGGCAATCCAATTAGCGGGCACTGTTGAGGGTTTAGCCCTGTTATTGATCCATCTTCCACTGGCTGTGACGGATTTGTTGCTTTCGCTGGCTCTTAAAAATGTAACTGCTGCTGCACTTGGTTTTCGCAATGATAATAACTGTATGTGTGGGTGGAGGGGAGCAATGAAAAACAGCTGGCGGCGATGGGGGAGCTATCGATAAGTCCAGTTATCGCTCATTACACTAAAAAAAAATTTAAATATTGAACATTTTTTAAAATCATATATGCTGGTAAGTTTATAACATTGTAGGAAATCAAAATTAAAAATTTTAAGGAATCTTAAGCGTCTTACGTAGTTGTATTGTTTGGATTCTATTCAGATTTTATTTTTTAATGGAGTAGTATAGGTGCAAAAGGGTGGTATTTTCATCTTTATCATTTGTGAAATGAATCTTTTGTGTTATTTTACATTTTTAATTCGATTTACCATAAGTTTAATTAATGACCTTATATACTGACGAATATAATGGTTTTTTATTTATGTTAGCCAACACTGCATAGACCAGATGATTACAAAGGGAAATATGGGTCGCCGAATTGGAGTTTTCCAAACAAAGTTGGCCACCATTTTTGTGAAATCTTATCAGTTGAGGTTTAGCCGGTTACTCCGTTAGTTTTCCTGAGCGCAGCAAGTAACAATCTCACTCTCAAAAGCGTATTATTGCATATTGTCTGCACCGCTCGTTTTTCAACTTCGTCGAACCGGTTTAGAGTCTCGACTTTTCGGTGGCGATTCGGAGACGGATTGACTTCACATTACAGCTGACCAGAGCGCTGCATTCACGTCTTATAAGTGGCAACGAACTCACAAAGCGCTTATTTTATTTGAATAAAGAAATCCCTCGTATTACAATGAAAAACGTTTTGGATGTAATGTCGCTTCAGCAGCACGTGGAGTCGAACAAGGCACAGACCATCAAGCCCATCGATTATCGGTGAGCTAGGACCTTCAACTAAAGTAATCATAATTAGTAATTACCACCCTGTTCCAGTAAGCTCAACAAGCCTGGACTGGTCCCCCACTACATCTTTGAATGCGCCGCCAAACTTAAAATGAAACCTTTGACTGCAGCCTGTGCTGCCATTGTCTATCATCGCTTCTTCCGGGAGGTTAAGCCCAGTGACTACGATGAGTTCGTAAGTTTATTGAACTCTTGTCCTGATATAGTGCTGATCCTATAACTTTTACCCAGCTAATTGCTGCCTCGTCCTTGTACCTGGCTGGAAAAATCAAGGACGACGAAAGCGTCAAGATAAGAGATGTGATCAACGTGGCATATTGTACTTTAAACCGCGGCAGTACTCCACTGGATCTCAACGATGAGTACTGGTCTATGCGCGATGCTATTGTCCAAGCGGAGCTCCTAATAACCCGCACTTTGGGCTTTGATCTCAATATTGATCTGGCTCACAAGGTAAGAGGATAAAGTTTATTGTGAATATTATTCCACTATACTAATCCTAAAAAATCATTTTTAGTATCTCCTCTACTACATGAAAACCCTCCAAGACTGGGTTGGCGCCGAGGTTTGGAACTCTGTTCCTATCGCCAAGGCGGCTGCCTCCTATTTGCAAGACTTTCACCATAGCGCCAACATCCTCAAGTACAAACCCACCCATGTGGCCATCGGGTGCCTCTCGCTGGCCCTGCAAACCTACGGCGTTCAGGTCCCACTGACTGACGAATCCGATGAATCTTCCATGTGGTACAAACCATTGGTCAAGGACTTTACCCGCGAAAACCAATGGGAGATAATCGAGAATGTGATTGAGGTGTACAAAAATGAGGCATTCCTAAACGCCGCCTAATCTCCCTAAGAATTTCATTGCCATTCGAATTTATTTATTTCCCGTCTTTTCATTCACAAAATTTTATTTCCCTTCACATTGCATGCTCGAATTTCCATTGCCGCCCATAAAAATAAACATCAAGGATTGAAATGTGTAACGTCGGCGTTAGATCGGTGTAGGTGGCAACCCCGGGGGGGGGGGAGATGGCAACCGATCTGGGAGCCTTTTGGCGTAGTAGGACCGTAGCAAGGAGTTAGGCGTTTCCAATGTCCGGAGGTCTGGCAACCGGTGTAAAACCGTTATTGGAAGCTGGAAGCTAGAAGCAGGAATCCGAGCGGGTACAGCACTTTCTTTTGCATTTCTGGCGTGACCCAAAGAAGTTCATCCAAGAAGTTTTCTGGCGTGACCCAAAGAAGTTCAACGCACAAGCAAGGTGGAGAACAAGTACCTTCGAAAGGCACCAGCAGATCACAGCAGCAAAATAGAAGCGCAGCAGGAAGGCCTGGTACAAGGAGTACGAGGCAGTCGTGAGGAGAGACGGTGGAGTCGTGCGAGGTTCCCAGTGGAGCAGTCGACGGCGCATATTGAAACGGAGCGCGGCGCGAAACCGCCCACGAGGCGCGGCCGCGAAAGGACTGGGTTCCTACCGGAGAGCACGGTCGGAGCGGTCGCCGGAGGAGCTGGAGCTGATTGTGGTCCGGGGCGAGCGAGCCCGGGAGCCAGGCTCGGAGCGTTTGCGGCGATTTTAAGGAGCGCTCCGCCGCAAGAAAAAGGGGAGCGTAATCGATCCAACTGGTGGCCTCGTGGTGCCACAAAGAACTGTGCGGAGTTGGTGAGCGGAGAGTTCCGCTCCGAATAAAGATTTCGATTGGCTAATTAAGTGAAGATCTTTTTTGTGTGAACGGGTTAGCGAAAGCTTTCCCGAGATATTTCCTTTCCAGCTTCGAGCACGTGGAAGCGCTTCAACCAGCTCGTCGCGGACAAAGGGGTGAGTGAGTACGCGTAGTTTTACATAAAGCCAATCGAAGCGACGCGGAACATTCCGGTCGTCAAACTACCGCATCGTCCGATTCCCGGCCGATGGGGGTCCACCAAGTGGACGGTTGCCTTCGCCATAGACACCGCGAGTGATCCGATAAAGAGCCCGATCCTAAAATGTAACCAGGGCATAGCCGAACCGTTCTTATGTAATGCTAGCTCGCGGAAAAAGACGGCTGAGTCCATTGTAGAAAAGCGCGCAGATACGCCGCGAATCCACATACGCCAGGCGCAGTAAGCCTTTCACCACGAAGCGGTGCAGAAGAGCTGAGGGTGCAATTTTTATTTCATTATTCGGAGAGTAGAGAAAGATACATGAAGAGAGATACATGAAATGAAATATTATTCGTTAATTCCCTAATTTAAGCTAACTCTAAGATACATTACTTTGGAATACATCGCCCCCGCGCTAGTGATCCGTTAAAGAGCCCGATCCTAAAATGTAACCAGGGCATAGCCGAACCATAGTTAGCCGAACCATAGCATAGTTTAAGTTTTTCATTTTCAATCGTTTAACCTAGCATCTAGTTGGTAGATAAGTAAGCCAAGAAGGAAAATTGAATTTCTAGCAAAGTAAGGGGAAACAGGGATGGGGAAAAAGTGAATGTATAAAATTACCTTAGCCTAATAAACATGAATTTTATAATGAGATAAAGGAAAAAATAATTCGCCTCGCTTAATTCGCCACCGCCTTGCCGCTGAACCACCCCCAACTTTTGCGTTCTCGAGGATCTTGAGGATCCAAATGAAATCTGTTTTGAGAGGACTATGTTTGGCCTTCGCAGTTCGAGAGGCCGTGCACGCAATCGATTAACGATAGAATTTATGATCTCCGAGGTAAGCATCAGGGAGAGAGAAAGGGCCCTATATGACCCACCCATTAGCCGACGAGGCCTAGCTGGCAACCGCGTGCAACCCTTTCTCTCAGCCGTTGATCCAAAGATGCCACCTCACAAGGTTGACTGTTCGTTACAGTAATAATTATCATAAATTTTTCTGGCGCCCAACTTAGTGGCCATGTTTTCAGTATGGCTAAACGCAGCCATGTTTTGCGTTCAATTCATTTCGGCTGGTTATAGTAGCATGGTAGTAACCAGACCAAAAGCCTCAGCAGCGGTGCGGGTACCGCATGGAATACTACACTTAGTGAAAGGGTAGACCACGGTGCCACAGCAGTCGCAGCAATAGTTTGGAGTAGCAGTTCAGTATCTCGCGTAGGATTTCAGGAGGGAAAGGACTAACCTGACCACGAGTTATGACTGGCGAGTTGTGACAAGAGCAAAGGGACGGGAGAACTGACGCTGCAGTCGCTTGGAGAGCAGGATCAGTCAGCAAACTGATGTCTGACCACGCCTGGAGATTGGCAGTTAGGACCCGTCGCCCCCTAGTAGAGAAGATGGACGCTTGGAATTCAGTCGTAGGAGCTACGAATGACCACGTCCTAAGAGATAGCGTAGGTGACTCGCGGTGCCTGGGAATAGCAGGGACGGGCGACGAAGAGGCGTAGAGGGGAGTTGCTCGAGCCACCTCCCGAACAGATCAGAATGAGGAGCAAAGCAGAAAGAAGAAGGACAAAAGGCAGCGTGTATTGGCGGTAGGCAAGTTAAACGATGGCGAAGTTTGGTTTCATATTAATAGTAATCAGAGTTTTGGTAGTCGAAGAGAGAGAACATCTGTTAGTGTATCTTCAGATTTAGAAAGTAAAATAGGAAAGGATGAATCCGGCAGAGGCAGAGAAGGGGGCAGCGACACCCATGAAGATGCCCATCTGCATGATATGCAACAAAGAAATGGCAACTGGCAGAGCCAGGACCAAGTGCGGGCACGAATTTCACAAGACATGTATAACAACACATGCCAGGTCGAAGTCGTCATGCCCGACGTGCAAGGTAGTGTGCTTTGAGAAAGTCCAAGCGGCAAGTGACACGACCGCTGCGAGTACGAGCCAGCAGACTCGCCGGCCAGACTCACCCTGCGGGACTAGCCAAGCAGGATCTCAGGCAGAATCTCTAGGAAGCACAGCGGAGCTGCAAGCATTGGTGTCCCAATCAGTGAGCGCCATGCAGGCGACGTTACTGGATCAGCTATCGGCACAGGTGGACAGACTATTCCACCAAAGGGAGCGTCCAGAAAGGGATGAAGAAGTTAGAGCTGGAGTCCACGAACAACCCAGTGGGATTTACGATAATGAAGGGGCGATTCAAGATCAAAGTTACAGTTTTAGGAACGGTACAAGGCAACAAGCAGAACAAAGCCTAGCGTACAGGCCAGATAAGGTGGGCCACATTATAAACAATTGGAAGATTCGGTTTAGCGGACATCCAGAGGGGATGACTGTCGATAATTTCATCTATCGGATAGAAGCATTGACCCACCAAACACTGGATAGTAATTTCTCAGCTCTGTGCGGCAATGCGAGCTTGCTGTTCGACGGTAAAGCGGGAGAATTTTACTGGCGTTTCCATAAGTTGAATAGAGGGATGAGATGGGGCGAGTTGTGCGACGCGCTTAGAAATCATTTCAGGGACAATAGAACGGATGAGGACATACGCGAAGCAATAAGAGACCGAAAACAACGCGAAAGAGAGGATTTCGATTCATTTTACGAGGCGGTAGAGCAGCTGATGGATGGGTTGAGTGTTCCCTTGAGCGAAGCCACCCTAGTAGAAATGGTTAGAAGGAATCTCAGGTCCGAGATCCGCCACGAGTTGCTGAATGTATCAATACGTTCGATAGGCCACTTACGAGAAGTTTGCAGGCGTCGTGAGCGATTTTTAGAGGAAGTGCGTCGAGATAGCAGCTCGTCAAAGCCAGGTTGGACAAAGAAGGCATATGGAGAAACCCAGAGACGGGAAGACAAAGGCTCGCATAGGGGCTATGCATCCGGCAAAGCGGTAGCGGAGTTAGGCAGTGATCTGGAATGGGAAGAGGCCCAAGAGTTCACGGACGAAGAAGCAGACGAAGTGGAGGCTGTGGCTCTCATCTGCTGGAATTGCAGGAAGGAGGGTCACAGGTATCACGACTGCGCGGGAAAGCGGAAAGTCTTCTGTTTTGGATGCGGGTCACCTAACGTGTATAAGCCATCTTGTCCGAAATGTCAAAAAAACGGGAAAGCGAATGCACCGGACCGTCCACCCCAGCGCATTCCGTTAAGCTCAAACAGGGACAAGTAGGAGAGAAGGACGAGGGCGACAACGAGCATCGCGAAGGAGAGCATAGTGAGGTTAAGGTAGAAGATAAGATTAGGTCTAGAAACACTAACAGGTTAAGGCAGTATTGGAATTCGTTAAGCCGAGAGTTCGTAAGAGAACGGGAGATTCAATCTACGGGCTAGAGGACATGCAGAGAAGGACAATAGGCACCTACCACGCCAAAGATTTTGAACAATAGTCTACGCCTCCGTGGTTTAGCTAAACAGGATCGTGTGAGACCCTGTTCTAGCTCTTGCGAAGGGGGCATTTTGTAACGTCGGCGTTAGATCGGTGTAGGTGGCAACCCCGGGGGGGGGGGAGATGGCAACCGATCTGGGAGCCTTTTGGCGTAGTAGGACCGTAGCAAGGAGTTAGGCGTTTCCAATGTCCGGAGGTCTGGCAACCGGTGTAAAACCGTTATTGGAAGCTGGAAGCTAGAAGCAGGAATCCGAGCGGGTACAGCACTTTCTTTTGCATTTCTGGCGTGACCCAAAGAAGTTCATCCAAGAAGTTTTCTGGCGTGACCCAAAGAAGTTCAACGCACAAGCAAGGTGGAGAACAAGTACCTTCGAAAGGCACCAGCAGATCACAGCAGCAAAATAGAAGCGCAGCTTGTGGGCAGACGCGCCCAAAAGGTCGGCGCTAAAGTGAGGCAGGTCACGGATCGTAGTGTCGAACGGAAGGCCTGGTACAAGGAGTACGAGGCAGTCGTGAGGAGAGACGGTGGAGTCGTGCGAGGTTCCCAGTGGAGCAGTCGACGGCGCATATTGAGACGGAGCGCGGCGCGAAACCGCCCACGAGGCGCGGCCGCGAAAGGACTGGGTTCCTACCGGAGAGCACGGTCGGAGCGGTCGCCGGAGGAGCTGGAGCTGATTGTGGTCCGGGGCGAGCGAGCCCGGGAGCCAGGCTCGGAGCGTTTGCGGCGATTTTAAGGAGCGCTCCGCCGCAAGAAAAAGGGGAGCGTAATCGATCCAACTGGTGGCCTCGTGGTGCCACAAAGAACTGTGCGGAGTTGGTGAGCGGAGAGTTCCGCTCCGAATAAAGATTTCGATTGGCTAATTAAGTGAAGATCTTTTTTGTGTGAACGGGTTAGCGAAAGCTTTCCCGAGATATTTCCTTTCCAGCTTCGAGCACGTGGAAGCGCTTCAACCAGCTCGTCGCGGACAAAGGGGTGAGTGAGTACGAGTAGTTTTACATAAAGCCAATCGAAGCGACGCGGAACATTCCGGTCGTCAAACTACCGCATCGTCCGATTCCCGGCCGATGGGGGTCCACCAAGTGGACGGTTGCCTTCGCCATAGACACCGCGAGTGATCCGATAAAGAGCCCGATCCTAAAATGTAACCAGGGCATAGCCGAACCGTTCTTATGTAATGCTAGCTCGCGGAAAAAGACGGCTGAGTCCATTGTAGAAAAGCGCGCAGATACGCCGCGAATCCACATACGCCAGGCGCAGTAAGCCTTTCACCACGAAGCGGTGCAGAAGAGCTGAGGGTGCAATTTTTATTTCATTATTCGGAGAGTAGAGAAAGATACATGAAGAGAGATACATGAAATGAAATATTATTCGTTAATTCCCTAATTTAAGCTAACTCTAAGATACATTACTTTGGAATACATCGCCCCCGCGCTAGTGATCCGTTAAAGAGCCCGATCCTAAAATGTAACCAGGGCATAGCCGAACCATAGTTAGCCGAACCATAGCATAGTTTAAGTTTTTCATTTTCAATCGTTTAACCTAGCATCTAGTTGGTAGATAAGTAAGCCAAGAAGGAAAATTGAATTTCTAGCAAAGTAAGGGGAAACAGGGATGGGGAAAAAGTGAATGTATAAAATTACCTTAGCCTAATAAACATGAATTTTATAATGAGATAAAGGAAAAAATAATTCGCCTCGCTTAATTCGCCACCGCCTTGCCGCTGAACCACCCCCAACTTTTGCGTTCTCGAGGATCTTGAGGATCCAAATGAAATCTGTTTTGAGAGGACTATGTTTGGCCTTCGCAGTTCGAGAGGCCGTGCACGCAATCGATTAACGATAGAATTTATGATCTCCGAGGTAAGCATCAGGGAGAGAGAAAGGGCCCTATATGACCCACCCATTAGCCGACGAGGCCTAGCTGGCAACCGCGTGCAACCCTTTCTCTCAGCCGTTGATCCAAAGATGCCACCTCACAAGGTTGACTGTTCGTTACAAATGCAACCTAATGAAACCAGAGAAGTTTAAATTTTTCTGAAAAAAAGACTGTCTTTAAATCTGGACAAAGAAAATATTGTAAAGGGTGGGGAATTCTACATTTTAAAATTATTTTATTAAGTTATTGTTTTTCGAAATATTTTCTGATATCTAAATAAAGAAATTTATGAAGCATTTTTAAACATTGCCAAAAAGGGATTAAAATTGTTTAAACTAAAAATAGCGAATAAAAATAAAAATATTGTATCAAAAAAATGAGACGTAATTTTTTATGGATTATATATGGTATGGTAAAGTCATAAAGTTACTTTTTAAGACATGAATAAAAAATTAAAATTACATTAGGATAAATTTAAAAATTAAAATATATTAATTTTAAATTTATATGTTTATGCGACCACGACAGCCCTGATAAACTTTTGCCGTTTTCCAGCCCTAAGCACGAAATAGTTAAAGCGTGGCAACTCTGTAAAAACAACAAATACAATGCTTCCATAAACAAAACATATTTTTTTAGCGAGTACCATTCCACCAGGACCAAGAAACAAAAGACAAAAGGACAATATGCGGAAGACATGGGTGAAGAGGGAAAACATTTACTACAAACCATTCTACAAGCAGAAGTCGAAGATGTTCCTGCTTCTCATCTTTCTGGTGGGGATTTCCTTCATCGCCTACCAGGTAAGCAATGCTTTTTGTCGATGTGATTAGGAGGAGCTTAATACGAAAAACAATAACTAGGCCTTCTCGCTGAACCAGTTGCCTGGAGTGCCAGCTCCCTGGAATCTGCAGCAACTGCGAAAGAAGCACCAACAGATGATTCAGTCCCTGGGTAAGAAGGAGCGTGACGCGGACGATTTTGATGGCGGAGGAGGCGGTGGCGCCGGCGGTGTTGCAGCTGTGCCGTTCACAGGTCAAAAGGATGAGGATCCCATCAAGATTGTGCGGTAATTGAATGAATACTCTGTTCGCTAATTAAAGAGCACACTATAGTGCCTCGACAGTGCCTAATTAAGTGCTAATGATATTCTTATTTAAATATTGTTCTTTTTAGGGGCACTCGTCTCTTTGACTACGATGCCTATAAGCCAAATTTCGAGGGAAAGTTCCGGTGCCTGGACGGCTCCAAGGAGATCGCGTTCGATCGCCTGAACGACAACTACTGTGACTGCGAGGGCGATGGCAGCGACGAGCCGAGCACCAACGCCTGCTCGAAGGGCAAGTTTTACTGTCGCTACCAGAAGCGGCACTTTACGGGCCGGGGCCTGGATGTCTACGTGGCCAGTAGCCGGGTGAACGACCATGTCTGCGACTGCTGTGATGGCAGCGACGAGTGGACGACTGATGTTAAATGCCAAAATGACTGCGCGTAGCGTCCCCTATCCCAACTCCCTGTCCACCTCCCTTAAATCCACCTTTGCTCCGAGGACACAATCTCAAGGATGAAGCTGTCTGGCGCATCACAAGCGATATTTTTTGTACGAGTACAATAGATTGTAATTTATTTTAAAGTAAGTAGGTTGAATAAAAAGATGAATGAAAGTGAGCCCCAGAAGTTCGAGTAAGAGATCCTGTTTATAAGAAATGTCCCAAAAAGTAATAATAAATCTTTTAATGCTTAATCGTTTTATTACCAGACTCACATAAATCAGTAGAATTTACATTGGGAACTCTTTTAGTCGATTACTTTGCTTGACTTTCTTAGAACGTTGTTTCTTTATATTTTTTTGGTTTCAAATTCGGAGCGTTTTCATTTATAATGTTCAATTTATATCTACATACATATATGCAAGAGCGACTGTTTTTATTTTTTAATTTACGCGATTCTTGTCTATATTTTTCTTGTTTCTGTGAATTTTAAGCCGTAAAACTTACACTGACACTGACAAACTTTAAAGCAATTTTGAACTGCAAATTCTACAAAGGTACGAAATTTTGTGTAATTAATCCCAGCTACTTGTAGTTATAGCGGGTGTCTCTCTGTCTTGTCTGTTGAATAAGCGGAAGCAGTAATAAGCTCCCCGTTGATATATAGTATAAGGAACGCGCGCCATTATAATTATTTATCGATCTCGAACCTTACTTTATTCGCATTGAGTACTTCTTATTTGACTTGTCCAGCACAATCAGAAAAAACTACGTATACTACTTGGTATGGACGGGAAGATGCTCTTCTCGCGTCTTCTCGCCTCACAAACTCGAACTCGATCTGCCGATCGCTCTAAATAAAGTACTATTTGTTTTGTTGTCGGTTCTTGCCAGTTGACACTTAAGGTATATCTTATTAACGCTAAGTAATACTTAATCATTTTAGGATTTAGTGGGGCTTCTGTGGTCTAGATTGATTAGGTTGATTAGGAGGCGACAGTGCGAGTGATAGTTAAATTCCTTGGGGGTGGATGGGTTCTTAAAACGAAAATTGCTCGAGTCACGCTATAAATAATGTGCGCAAATCACAAATATATTCCAATTATAAATAACTAGCTTGGAGTGTTTGTATACATAAGATGGGATTAAAATATAAAATCATATATATAAAAATATATATATAAGGTTTGTGTATATGTATTATTGCACTGATGAGATTTTTGTTTCAATTTTGGGCCAATCATAAAAATGAGATATTCGTAAAAGGGACGAACACAAAGATGGGAATAAATAAATACATGTACAAAAATACAAAAAATAGACATGACTTTTGGGTGAATCGACTTAAGCTAGCTGGGCAGGGGGGGAGGGGTGCCTGTGATGGTGGGTGGTTCTAAGAAACTTTCTCTCATACAAGTATACATTCATAAAGTTAAGTTACAGATCTAACGGCAAAGCGTATAATACAATTTCTGCAGTTTGCGTTTCGAGCGACACTGATGGTGATGGTGCTGCGAGTGGCTGTGGCTGTGGCTGTGGTGGTGATGGTGGTGGTGCGAGTGATGATGATGGTGGTGTCGGTGCGACTGCAGTTGCTGGTGCGGCGTGTGCGGATGATGGCGTATCTGCGGTTGTTGCTGTTGCTGCTGCTGGTGTTGTTGTTGTTGCATATGGCCGTGGTGATGATTATTTACAATGCTCGCGGATGAGGCGCTCAATGCCACCGCCGAGGAGATCAGTGCTGCAGCTATGCGCGAGGAGGAGGTGGAGGCCAGCGCAAGCTCCGGAGTGTTGGCCAGCAGCTGCCGATGGTGCTGGCGGAGCTGGGCGACCTGCTGGCGCTTCAGGGCGGCAGTGCCCTTGCGCATTGCGTGCAAGCGACGCCTGTGATGATGCGGATGCAGTTGAAGCTGTCACTTTGCCTCCTCGCTAGCCTCCAGTATACTGTTGCTCCCATTATTTGTCGTCGCTGTCTGCTCGTTGATTCCACCTCCAACGCCCTGCTGCTGCTGGATCTGTTGTTGCTGCTGCTGCTGCTGGGCCTGCTGATTCAGAGCGTGGACATGCTGGCAGAAGGCTTGGAGCACCTCGAAGTGGGTCATCAGATTGGCCGGCTGGTTGTCGTAGTGCAAGTGCCTCGTGATCGGCGCATTCAGCCGCCTCAGCATCTCTGTGAATAGCTTCTCCTCCTTCCGAATCCACGGCCGCCGATCGTCCTGCACTTGGTAGGGCGTTAGATGCACATGGATGTTCATGCCTGCTTGAAAATGGTACAGTGTTAGTTGATATTTAAGGTGCTAGTCTATCTCGACTGGCTTACCCATGCGCGTGAGTGTCTCCAACAGGCTGCGCGATGTGATCCATGTGTTCTTCTGCCCTCCGTGGCCGCCATCCAGCCAGTACATGTCCGAGATGCGCGACAGCAGCCGACACATGCTGCTGTCATCGGGCGTGAGGGTCTTCAGATAGTGGAACTCATAGATGAACTGCAAGTGAATTTGAAACAAAAGAGCTGAGTTGGAGAATCAAATCCCGTGACTACTTCGGGGGAAAACACCTGAGCAAACAGGTGATCCGTCTGTTAACGAACCAAAAGCAACTCACTTGATTGAGCACGACGCAGCCCTTGCTAAAGCCAATCAGCACTAGCTTGGACTTGTCCAAGTTGAGGTTCTCCCGCCACCACAGCGGATTGCTATCACTGGTGACCGTTGCTGTGGCGCCCGAAGTTGTAGCCGCCGGATTGGCACTGACCACTGAAGCCTGCCTCGCCTGCCCCGTGCCGCAGTCATTGTTCTGATGCTCAACATTGTTGGCTGCCGTTGTGGAAGCCATCTTGATGGCCGCCGCCGTCTGCGGCTGATTATTGGCCTGCTCCTGGTGGTTGTTGACCTGCTCCTGGTGGCTGTTGCCATTGTTCCCCGAGACATTGTTCACTATTTCGGCCGCATCGCTTCCAACAATCGGAAATATAACAGCACCGTCCGCATCAACTGTGACGTTCTCCTGCACCTGCAAGATGTCGATGTCCATGTCCTGGCTACTGTCATTGCCCGGGGACGACTGCGAGCTGGACTCCGCGTTGACGGTGGCGTTGGAGAGGGTCAGGGCAGCGGCTGCAGCAGCAGCAGCCACAGCCGCCGCAGCTGCCGCCGCCTGAGCCGCTTGGTCCAGTATCTCGTTTTCGGGTATGGAGATCAGGCGTTGGGACAAGTTTTGTAGCAACCTAACCATAAGAACCATTAGATCTTGCCAGAAGGGTAAGCCATTAAAGTAATACATACTTTTCCAAGTGCTGAAGGGCGTGATTCATGGGCGTGTGGTCTGGAACACCGGCATTGTTGCCCCTCACAAAATTGTCGAAGCAGCTGAAGGTCTTAAACTCCATGCTGTGGAGAGATTAAAGTTAGTACAAGAACTAGTTAATATGTTGTAATAGACTTACCGAACTGGCCGGATAACGATGATGTGCGACCGGGGGAAAGCCTCGCGCAGCAAGATGGCCGAGTTCTCCAGGTTGTACTTCATGTAACCCCTACTGTCGCGGTTCGTCTCCATGCTCTCGGGAAAGTCCTGGACGTCGCCGCCAAAGTATATGATGGCCGTGGAGTCCTCGGGCACATGCTGCGCCTGCTGGCGTACGATCGGGGGACAGTAGACGATGTCATTGGCCCGGTTCTGGAAGCCGGCCACGGAGAAGATGCGGAAGGGACCGGCCGAAGTGCTTGGCGTGCACAGACGCTCCCCGCTGCCGCCGCCAAGCATGCCCTCGAAGTTTCGAATCCGCTCTTGCAGTTGCAGGAATTGATCAATGATGAGCTGGGTAGTCGAAGCGAAATGGGTCAGTAGGGGACTTGGAAAATTAAGCAATGAGACACTTTTAGTAGCAAGCATTGTGGAACTAAACTAGGAAACTAAACGATCTTGTAAGGAAACTACAGAAACAAAACAAAAAGCCCTATCGGTACCTAAAGTCTTTACGAAACCCTAGTAGTAGTCGCTGTCGTAGCCATCCCGGGGACTCCCACAGCAGCCCACAAAACGCAGTCGCGTGTCCTCCATGCACAGCTTGGCGTCCTCCCGCATCTCTCGCAGCTTCACCCGGACCTCCTCCCGCATGAGGTTCCGGCACATGGCCACCAGGCCCATTCCGAGCAGCATATACACGAAGTTGATGGCCAGCTTCGAGTGCTGGTCGGCGGCCACGGACTGCAGCTGAGCCAGCTCATCCGGGTCGGCGGATATATCCTCCTGGAGCTTGTGAGTGGCTGCGTTAACGTCCGCAGCAGTCGTTAGCGAAGCCCCTGGCACAAAGTCTCCGAAGCCAATCTTGCAGAGCGACGTCATGCAAAAGTAGAAGCTGTTCAGGAAGCTCCACTTCTCCCAGTTGGCAAACATCACAGTGCCCGTGAGGACATAGAAGAATATCACCCACAGGCAGGCGGTGGAGGGCACAATGATCTTCTTCCGAGGAAGGCTGACACCCCCTTCGAGAGCGTCCAGGCGGTCCAAACGCGGATGCTCCTGGGTGCAGTCGTGCATGGACCGGTAGAGGAACTTGAACGAGCGGGCCAGGACCCTGCCCATGTTCAGGAAGTACAGTATGTACAGGGGTATGCCGATGCTGGCGTAGATCACAGTGAATCCCTTGCCCCAGGGCGTCCGTGGCACCATGTTCCCGTAGCCTATCATGGTTATAACCGACAAGCAGAACATTAGTGCCGCCGGGAAGCTCCAAATCTGTTCAGGGCTCCGGCCCACATAGCCCTGCTTGATCACTCCCGCTATCTGGGCCTGGTAGTCGCGGAGCACGGCGTTGGTGTCCTCCGACCACTTGCGACGGTCGATCAAGTTGTGCTTCTCCGTGATGCTCCACAGCTGCTGGGAGCAGTTCTGGCGCAGCTCCAGCACCTGGTCGGCGGTGCCGTCGATGAACTGCCGTTCTATGTTCATGAAAGCGAAGGCTCCGCATATGGCGTAGATCACGATCAGGGCGCCCACGCCCACCTGGGTGCACATAAAGGTGACGAAGTTACGGCAGCAGCGCTTCACACGCTTCCGCGGCTGGTTGCTGGGAGAGGAGGAAACGCTGGAGGCCCTTTGCACTCCTCCCCCGCTCATCGGAGAGATTTTTCTTTGAAATTTGTTTGGCATGGCGATCGGACGGCTTATATGGGATTATATAACCGCATCCAGGGATGTCCGGCTAGAACTGAGAGTTTCCTGAAGTGTTTCCAGCGGAAGATGATGTACAATTAGTTGGGCAGTTGTCGATTCTCGATACGGGCACTGGGAGTGTGGAAATCAGCACGTTGGCTAAAAATAAACCCACGCCTTTGCACGGCACATTTTCCAAAGGCCAGACGAACAATTTTCCGCTCCTCGACTGATCCCCACGGGCGCCAAAAATCAACTGAGTGAGGAAATCTCCCCAAAGGTGGAGAGCCAGCGAGAGGAGATCCATCAGAGAAGGTGGAATTGTGGGTGAGAATACGTGGGAGGCGAATTGCGGATCTGATATTTATGTGGGCAAGTGCCTGCCGTTCTAAATAAGGCAATTTACGTCAAATTTATGAACAGAGCAATCAAGACATCATCCCGGACACCCGCAGGTGTAATATTCGACGTGGGAACTACGAAGTGGAAGGAGAGACTACAGAGATCTGCATAATAATTAAAGATTTGTATTTAGAGGAGAACTAACTTTTGAAATAACCATCCCCAGAAGCAGACCACTGCTTCTCAGACCAGAAGCTACTCATGTATTTGCCTTTAAAAAGGTCTGTTTTGTAAAAAACAAGCTTTTCCAAAACAGAACCAATTACTAGGAACATCTTTCTGGGTAATTAAGCCCTCCTAGGAGAGTATTCCTTGCCATTTCACGGTCTACTCTGAAGGGTTAGCATAGTCTGCCTTGGCCAGTCGTAAAAAATGATGGCACTTTGATTAACGACTGTGTGTGGCGGAGCTTTGCTCGCTCTCTCAGAACGGTGTACTATTAATAAATGCGTTATAAATCAAATCGGGAAGAGCATCCGCCGTCGGGTAACAACAATAACAAATAATAATGCGGAGCCAAACAAACTATACGTAAATATAAACAAAGAATTAAAAAACGAAAGCAAAGAACACATACCTACTCACACAGATGATACGCAGAAAGAGGAGAGATATCAAATGGATACGCAAAAACGGGGGGTGAAATGCGTGGAAAGAGATAGATTTTTTCAACACCAGCACTCACACACACACACTCACACAGACGCATACAAATTTCACAAATTTATGCGAAAATTTTCGGTGCACATCGCTTTGCATTTATCGTTAAATAGGGTCCGCACTTGATCCCCACTTACGCTGTTTCTTTCGGTTAATAGTTGCGCGTGAAAATTCTGGCGTTTTAGCTGCACTTCCCGCGTATTTCCTCGTCTGTTTTCCTTTTATCTTTTATCTGGTCACGCACACTACCAAAGTGGAGGTGTATTTGCGAAAAAGCGGGCAGCTAGAGATGGAAAAATATCGATATGTTGCTATTGGTATTTTATGTTTCTATAATACTGCCGGTTTAGTTGGTCTTTTTTGAGACGCATAAGCACGCACACATCCATTTTAATTAGAATCAATGAAAAAAATAAAGCTATTGATTGCCACAAGTTCGTTTTTCTAATCTTTCTGTGAAAATACCATGTTGTTGGGGTCTGGTATTTTTTCATGTTTTTAAAGATGGAACTTTATCTGGATTCGATAGTTTGAAATCGGTATGGCAGCTCTAAAATACTTGGCGGTACATTTGAATCTACTGCATTACGCTACTACTTTTGTGTATATGGGGTCTTAACTGAAATTTATGTAGTTAATTTTTTGGGTGCCTTATTTTGTTGCAGTTTTGTCTATAGAATCGATTACGAATCGAGAACCCGGTTTAAAGGTTTCTCCGAAAAGGAAATTAATATTTCTTAACAGGCAAAAAATCTAAAGGCAGAGCCCAGTGTTTTTACAGAATTTATTGTTTAGGACCCGATAATAAGATTTCTTTTCAAATTGTTTGTATCTTGCATGTAGATATAGTTTAAATTTAAAGCCTATAATTGAAAATTATCATAGTAATATTTCTAATAGGTTTAGTTTCTTTTTTAAATATTTATTTTAAATTTTACTCACCCTACTTACCGTACGCACACAACTGGTTACTTAACTTGCGAATTACATCCTTGAATTTTGCTGAAAATTTAAAGGTTGACCCCCGAAATCAAGGCCTCCGAACCCAAACTATATCCCCAACCTAGCGAATTGAATTGTGCTTCCAAATAGAGACGAGGTCGTAAAGGGCAAAAACATGAAACGAGTGGTATTGATATATGTAATAATAATAATCATAAATTTTATTTGGTTTTGCTTGACATTTAAATGCTGCTAGTGAATTATATTTTGATTTTAATTTGAATAAATTTGAAATATATATTTCGCTTGATATATATAGATCTTTATGGATTGATTTATTTAAGCTGGTAGACGACGAAAAACTGTTAATAATATTTGCCATTGCTGTGCTCTGTGCGCACATCCACACATTTACAAATGGATTCGTATTTGCATATTGATTAATTGAGTTTTTAAGTGTAGAGCAAAAATAATGTTCAATTGGCAGCTGTGTGTGTTGCCTTTCTGCACGACTAAACCGGACCAACATTAGATCTGTGATTTAAATCCAAGTCCTGATTCCGCGGAGCAACCCTCCAGCCCCAGGATAGTTAAGCGGCTCTCCTTTAATTCGACCGATTACAAGATGGATGTATAAAAATATTTTGTTTACGATTTACGCTTATTTATGGAATAAAGTTTTAGAAAAATCCATTTACGTTCCTTGCAACATTCTGTAGTACGGTATCTTTTGGTTTTTTGCTGCATTAGTTTTGATTCGATTTTGTATTTCTTTTTTGTTTGTTTTTGTGTATAATTTCATATTTATTATATTTTTGGTACATAAATCTGTGTGTAGTAGTGGTTTTCCTTAACATCTGTGCTGTTTCTGTTGTTTTTAATTTTGTGGTAATTTATTGGCTTAAAGTTTCTCAACTGAATTCACGTAAAACTAAATAAAATTATAAGCTCTGAGCATATAGAATATGAAACAGAGCACGAAACTTAACATTAGGAAATCAATCATGATTTTAAAGTTAAAGTTAAAGTAATTTTAAAAGATAACTAGGAAGTAATTTTATACATTTTGTGCTTTGGACCGAAACATAACAATTTTGAATAAATCTATAACAAAAATCTTTCCTTAAATAAATATTCAAAAGGCAAGCAACCTTATCCAAATGTTGCTCTGACCCTCTGATATTTTGTTTCTATTCATTTTTTTATATTCTTTTCTTTTTTAATTATTTGTTTATGTAAAGTTTTGTGCCGAAAATATCACATTGAATTTTATGTTTTATTTTATTATAGCTGATGTTTTTATTTTGTGCCGAAACATAATTTTGTCTATCACAAAATGTTTAAAATTAATTACTTTTGCCGTCTCTGCGAGGACGTGTTGGTTATTGTATTCAAGTAGCAAGACAGTAGATAATTTTAGATGAAATTAATGTTTAAATGTCCGATTCCTTGCCAATTGAGCAGAAAGTTAAGCAATTTTACAAATTTTTTTTCTTTTTATATATTTTTTTTTACATTTTTGTGATATGATGTTTTACTTGCCGACTATCATATCTTTTTCTTGTACAGGTTTGTAATTAAACTAAACAAAAAGTTGACCATAAATATAAACAAGCTTAAAAAGAAAATGAGGTGGTTCAAGTGGTTCAAACTAAGCCTAAAACCTTTTACTTAAATCATAGGACACAATAAGAAGATTTGGAACACAAACAAAAAGAGGAAAACATATGTAAACTATTGGCTATAAAATTGGAACCGATTAAAATAACATACATGTATATATGGTAGTTTTACGTGTAAGTGCTAACGGTCTACATAGATTAAAATTAAGCAATCAACAATAAAACTGAAATGCATTTGAGGTATATGAAAATTTCTTTGTAGTTGGTTGAGTAGCCCTCGTCCTTCGCATACTCTGCAGAACATATTGTTTAACGCTACGCTCTAAATATTATAATAAACTAAAACCTAATGTGACCTTCGTATGAGTAGTAGTTGTGGGTGACTGTTGCTGTGTTGTATTTATCCTGGCGACCCCACTGCTTCTGCTTCTGCTTCGGTGGTGATCCCGTTGGCTGAATTAGCCCCAAGTGACTCCTCTGCTTCGACTTTCCTCTATCATTAGTGTAATTGTTACAATTAAATCTGTTTTTAGGAAACAACATTTAGAAACCTTCGAAATGGTTTGTTGTAGCTTTAAAAAATGATTACATCAATTCTACCCCGAACTTCGTACGCTGCCTTTTTCTCTTTAATCTTAGTTAGCAACTGAAACCTTTTCCTAATATTCTTTAGTTATACACATTTATATAGCATTATATAGTTTCTTTCATTTTCCTTTGTATACATCTATAGATTGATGGGACGATTGGGTCAAAGTTAAAGTTAATATTATCATTAATGTGTGGTTAGGTGATTAAGTTTTAGCATCTTCGGTTCTACTAGTTTGGGTTATTGCTTGGGTAGCTGTGGGTAATGTACAGACGACTAAATGCGAGAAGAAATCCTTCTTAAAACCCTACATTAAACTCTTCCTATCGAAGTAGCTGTATTTGTGACTGTAGGGGCTGTAGTTGCTATAGTTGTAATAAACTTGTTGATGTTGCTGGTGTGACTGTTGCTGCTGATGGTGTTGCTGTTGCTGTGGCTGCTGCTGTTGCTGCTGATGTTGGTGCTGCGGCTGCTGCTGCTGTTGATGTTGCTGATAGTAATAGCGATGGTGGGCTGTACTCTGGCCCCTACCACGCCCTTAAATGGACGAGTTGAGCTTCAGCAGGCGGTCAGGATGCTTAACGCGCAGGTGCGAACGCAGCGTATCGATCCTGCTGTACGTGGCCGGACAGTATGGACACATCGAGCGCTGGGCGGTGTGGGAGTGGAAGTGGTGCCAACGGTTGGTCACCTCCTTTCCACAGGACCGGCACCGCCACATTGTGCCCGGATCGCGGGACGGCGTAAACATGTTGTGATAGGACATGGTGTGATGTGAGTTGTGACCTCCAGCCGCTCCACCTCCTCCACCGTTTCCGCCACCAGATCCGCCTCCGGCTCCGGATCCACTATTTTGCGTAGCTCCCATACCCTGATTGTAGCCATGGGCGGGGGGCGTGCCAGCGGGATGGCTGTGACCGTTTCCGGCGGCGCGGATGTAGTGCAGAGGATGGTAGTCGCTTTTCAGAGCCGCCGACAGGTGCATCCCGAAAGGGGGCGGCGGGGGCGAGGCCGACGACGAGGTCGACAGCGGGGTCGACAGGTGATGGCGGGCGCTGCTGCCTGCGATTCGAGAACGAGAAAGAGAAGAACAGAACACACAACAGCCCGTCGAGCGGGACGAAAATCAGCCCAGAGAAATAGAATTTTTTCTTTTGTTTTTTGGTATTGATTGGTTTCTAAATTGTTTGTTTTTTTTTTGTATCATAGACAAAGATAGTGGGGAAGGTGGTGTAGAAGTGAGTGTGTGAGACAGAGCGAGAGCGAGAGATAGAGAGGGAGACAAACAGAGGTAGATTTACGGCTTGGGACAGAGATAGGTAGAGTTTCACTTTGTGAGCAAATTATAAATAAATTACTTAGGCGGCTTAATGAAAAAAATAGTCAAACTAAACTAGGAGGTACTCAAAAATTACAATAAATAAAACAAACAAACGTCACTAACTACAATCAAGCAACTTAGGTCAACGGAGAATATACATAAGTGTTTTTCTAACACAAATCAAATTATAATAAACTCATCAAACTTTCGCTTCAGATCATTCTGCCTCCTTATATTTCAGCGTGCAATTGAAATATGTTTCCTCTTCATTTTTTTGTTGTTTATAATTAATAATTGAGATGATTAAATATAAATTGTGTAACTAACCATTTAGAAAATATATTTTTGTGGAGTACGACGCAAAAGTAGGCAAAAAATTTTGTAACCGGAAGTTGGTAGGAATTATTGCGAATTTTTTGCGCGCACTTTTCGTTTACAGAATAACTTATAAAATGCCTCCGTTTGTTCCTAAATAAAATTCTTCTTGAGAATTTTCCATATTCAATTTTCATTAATTTTATACAAATGAAATTAGTCACAATCGACGTATACATAGAGATGTACTGTATGTTTATATAAATATATTTTATAACACAAATGTTGATGAGCAAATGATAAATTATCAAGGACTTAGCTGCTCTGATTCTTCTCTGTCGCACATTTTTTTCAAATGCTATTTTTCGGGTGTAACTCATTTGTGCGAAGATCACTTTGGCTTAAACTTAACTGTTAACGTTTTAAGGCTGAAACTCAATTGAAATCAATACATAATAAATCCACATACATTTAGTTTATAGAACTAAGGCTTTCATAAATATTGAAAGAAGATTAACAAATTTAAATAATTAAAAAAAACAGGAAATTGGGCCGAGGTTTGAAAATTCTCTATGTGTTTTGTTGTATGTTTGTGGGTGTGTGTGCGCGCATGTGTGTAGACATAGGAGTGTGGGGGTGTGGGTGTGAGAGTGTTTTGAAATATAGTTTCTTAGACATTAGTTCGACGTTTTCATGGGCACCCCTAACATCTTTGGAAGCACAATTCAAAGCGCACAGCAGAGCGGAATTCGAAGCGTCGCGATTGCGATTCCGACTCCGATTCCGATATCGAAGTCAGAGGATCAAAAAATAATAAGGAATAAGTGATCACCATTTAGTTTTGTTTCCATAAAATTCAATTTATTTGATTTAGTTTTGATTCTTTTGTTTTTGTTTTAATCGTGTGTGTGTGTGTTTCGTCGGTCTGTGGTGTTTTTTGTTTTTCTGTGAGATTGGTTCGTCTGCCTGTTCTTCAGTTAATGTTATATATGTTTTATTATGGTTTATATTGTTTTAGTAATTCAATCTCTTTCATTGAAAGGCTGCCATAATAGATAGAATGTTTATTAAAAATCGTTTTAAAAAATATTGTAATATATATTTATATGTATATATATAAATTGTAACAAATGCTGCAAGCATTTTGTGGACTTGCTTCAATTTGCTTAACTTTAATTAAAATGATTCCATTTTTTTCTGCGCTTTTCTATTTTATATTTTTGTTTTTTTAACTTTCTTGTTGTTGCTGCCGCTGTTGTTTTTCTTGTATATAAATAAAACTAAAAATAGTTTGTATTGCATTTATTAATACAAAAATTAGATTAAACTAAGTTTACATTGAAACTAGCACGTCATTAAAATTAAAACTTCAACATCTCTTCATCGACTGCAAAAATGCTGTTAAAATTGGTTAAACAAAGTCAAAGTCAAAATCCAAATCAAGGACACAGAAGTCAAAACGGTTCAAAAAGGCACAAAAATAAATATGACAGTGTACTGTTTGTAGGTTGGTGTGTGTTATGGGTTGTGGGTCGTGGGCTGTGGGTGGTGTGTTCGGTAATTGATAATCTTTATGACAATTATTTGTAAATAGACACAGAAATTGTAGCGAAAAGTTCTCATTAACTAACTGCTCTTTTGTCTGCTGCTATATCGGATGTATATATATATTTATAATCATATTTATAGTGATATGCTAACATTTATTTAGTTTTCTAGCGGTGTTTTCCCCATATATTTGCATTCATATATCCTTGCATTTACCCCATTTGTGAAATTTGGAGAATATCTAAATGGCGCTGACCTCAAACATATTTAAATGAGGGGCTAACACTGCTCTGTATTTACACATATTTTTCCAATTCATTATTAGTTTTTGTTTGCTTGTTCATTTATTTTGCTATGAATAATTTAAATGGTTTGCTTTTGCGTGGTCTCGTCAACTTCCTGTTCCTTAAACGAAAACTAGTCATATTGCACATACGATACGATTCAAAGAAAGCTGTCTCCTTTTGCTGGTTTTTGCTCCATTCCCGCTCCTTTCTTTTTCTCCCTTCTCGTCCTACTCATTATACTTTAAAGTATATTTGGATTTAGCACCATTTTGCATACCACACAAATTAATGATTACTTTCTTGCGTTTTTTATAAAAACTTCAACTCTCTATTCTCCTGCTTAATTAACATAATTTCAATTTGTAATGTGTGTTTGTTTGTGTGTTTTGTGTGTGTGGGTGTGTGTTTATGAGTGTGGTTTTTAGTTTTACTATAGTTATCACATCATATATAGATAAATTTCTTAAATTTTTGTTTAACAAAACAGCGTTAAAAATAAACATTAAACAAACATTAAGTCGGGGGCAGTATTTCATGTAGAATTATTAATAATGTAAATTTAATTACTAAACATTTTATGTTAAAAAGTAGAACAAATAAATATTATGAATATATGTGTATATAACTATATGTAACTTTATATATTTAATAGAATTATGCATTAATTCTTTAGGCAAATAGATGTTTGCTTTTTTTTTTGTTTCATTTTTTTTTTTTTTTTAGTTTTTTTTTAGCATAGATGCATAGATGTCTGTGTGTTTGTGTGCGCAGCAATATTTCGGGATTTGGCAATCAATTTACAACAACAAATTTAAAAAAAAAAACTGTTTTTAATGTAGATTATCTAGCAGAAATCTTGGGAGAATCATCAATCATATTTACACAGTTAGAGGAGTCTGTAAAAATTAAGATTAACTCACGCCCTTAATGCGTCTTTAATAGGTTTTTATAGACTGGATAACAAACTCGGCCACATGCACTGATCCAACTGGATCTGGATCGGTGAGGATCGCTCGCTAACTATAATACATCAGATCGGGTTGGATCAACCACAATCGCTCTGTTCGAGACTCATTCGCACACTTTTTTAAAATGGTTGTGAATAAATTAACATTAGTTTAGTATCCGTAATCAGCGAATTAGTTTAGCTCGGATTAGATTAGTTTAAAACTGCGTTTCTAAGATTAGGGCATGTCTTCAAAGGTCCATTAACATAGACAAACGCACAGATTTGTACATCATAGATATAGATACATGTATGCAGAGAAATTTCCATTAAATATTATTACTTTTTTCTTCTTTATAAATATCGATTAAACTGTGTAGTTTGTAGTTCTGTTATACTATTTTACATTTCTTGTTATTTGTTGTTATTCTGGTTGGTTTTTGTGTGTTTTTTGTAACACCAAAACGGCAATTATCGTAATTATAATTAATTATACATTTATATAAAACATTTAAATGGTTAGCAGCTTAGAAATCTCTCGTTTAAAATGTCTTCAATGTTCGCTCCTAACTTTTCTAGAGTATCAGAGTGGCTTCAGGGTGGGTTAGTGGGTGTTCTTCGTGGGTGTGTGTTTGGTGTGCGTATGTTTGTGAGTGTCTGAGTGCGCATATTAGTGTTAAATGCAACAACGAACAGGTGCAAAGAGAGAGAGTGCAGCCATGGATGTTGGCACTACCACCAAGAGAGACTTTGGCACAAATGTCTGACAGGTCCAACGATTTTAAAAACTTGTAATTCCACATATGAGTAGTTCTTGAAATACAATTAGTATATTTTATATAGTTTCTTCTCTGGTTTTACTTGTAAATATTTGAGTGCTACTTATTAAAACCTTTTTTCTTCAATTTTATCCAGATTATTTTCCACCCTCTTCTTAGCTGCCTTGGAAACCCTTTTAGCTTTACAATTAAAATTTCATTAAGAATAAATTCTCTTACTATACGGTATAAAGTGCGTGTGGATGTGGGCTTGTGCGACGGTTGCAACTGCAACATCCGTATCTAGTTGAAACCATGACAATATATGTATGTACGTTGCTTCCTGCACAGATCAGCATTAGATTCCTTTTTCGTTTCTACGCAGCTGGCTCGATTCCTCTGTTTCGCCTACATAATTGACAAATGAATTTGGCTTACCCTTAAATTGTTTCAACATTTTAGGTTCTTATTCGGTAAAATTGTTTCTTTGAGTATCAATGGGTGTTGTTGCATGTTGCATGTGTTGCTGCTTACGGCTGCCTTTTGTTGTAATTCCTAGTACTGTTAGCATAACTATTATTATTATTAGCATTATCGTTACTATTAGTAGTAGTTGTAGTAGCTTCCATTTGATTGGCATTTGTGGGATCTCTGTTGTTGCTGCTGTTACTGTTTTTGTTGTTACTATTATTGGTGTTGCTATTGCACAAAGTTTCTTGGTGATCGTAGGGGACGAACTGCTTCAGCTCCTCCATATAGCGCTCGAAATTCAGCCTCATCTGCTGCTGATGCTCCTCATCTATTTCATTATCGTCGCTCTCGTCTATGATGATCGACTGTAGTTGCTGCTCCTGGTGGTGGCGTCTGTGCTGCTGCTGCTGTTGTTGCTGTTGCCGCATGCTGCCGTTGCTTAGGGAAATGTGTGGTTGTTGCTGCTGCTGCTGCTGTTGCTGTTGGTAGTAGTAGTCGCGTGCATAAAAGCTAAAAGGCTGAGACTTGCGATGCTGCTGGGGATGATGTGGCTGCTGCTTGAGGTTAATATCATCGAGGCGCCAGGATCCATAGTTCCAGCCCATGTACTGACTATATCATTCACTTGTGGCATTGTGTTGCTGCTGCTGATGGTGCTGCGGTTGCAACTGCTGATGCAACATGTGCTGCTGTGCCAGGGCATGGGCATGCTGCTGCAATTGCTGCTGCTGGGACTGTTGCTGCTGCTGTTGGGACTGCTGGTGTTGCTGCTGCTGGTGCTGTTGCTGCTGCTGCGCCGCGTTGAAGGCCGCTGCAGCGGCTGCCGCCATAGCCGCTTGCGATGCCACCGCCAGCTGGCTGGGCGTAGGCGTTGTTGACGCCCCAGCGGCGGCGGCGGCAGCGGAGGACATAAGGTTGTCAAACTTGCGCGTATCCGGATTGTACATGGGATGCTTGAACTTGCAGTGGGTGCGCAGGTTATCGCTACGCGTGTAGGTCGCCCGGCACAACGGGCACTCGAAGCGGCCCGGAAAGTGGACGTGGTAGTGGTTCCGGATGTGGGTCACCACCTTGCCGCATAGCTTGCAGCGGTGCAGGTTGCAGCCGCCCGAGAGGCGCTCGAACGTGAGCCGCATGTGCCAGGCCTTAGAGCCTGCGTAATTAATTTTCAATATTTTATTCGATGGTATTTGCATTAGCAATTTCATATTCAGTTTGATTATTCAGTATTCGTTTTTCGGTATCGATTTTATTCGTATTTATTAATCAGTTCGATTAAACGCGCAAAGAAAAAAAGAAGAGAAAAACAATGTTGTTGTTGGTGATTCACAGAAACAGAAAAATCATTTTTATAATAATTCTTAAACTGTATAATTAGATGGTTTTCATAGTCTGTGTGTGTGTATGTATGTAATGTATGTGGTTTCTTGTATGTGTTATTCGTAATTTCTTTTTTTTTCTTAATTGTTGCCATGGAGTAAATGATAACTGAAACGAATGTTGGTTAAATCAAATTTCTCTTTTTCCCATATTCCTGAGACGGAAGGTAAGGTGGGGTTTCTTTTTTTTCGTTTTTGGGATGATTTGTTCAAAATTAAAAGCCAACTATTCGAGTGCTATTGTTTTGAACACTCTTCTTTGGGGGAAATTATACAGCAAATTTTCGCAATCAAATTTTGTTACACCCAAAAAATCGACAAATAAATAATAAGTATAGTTGAAAATTAAATATTTGTTTGTCTTTCACTTTTTCCATGGATATTGAGAAATCATGAGAAATGTGTACAGCACTTGAACGGGAAGTGGGTAGTGGGAACGGGAAGTGAAGTTTAGATTGTTTAAACTAAATCATTAATCGTCTCTGAACTGGATCGATTTACTTAAAATATGCTCAAGAAAATTATTTACAATAATCGGTAAGAATTAGGGAACAACTGGAGCGACTTGTATGCTGTAGAACCCAAACCAAATAATATGTAGGCATGTATGTGCAAATGATGGGGGTTTACACTTAAAGTAATGTTTCATTTTTCGGTTGGTTTAATGATCGCTTGAATTGATTCAGTCTGGTTTTCTTTTCAGCTTCGTGGTTAATTTTTTTTTGTGAAGAGAGCCCAAGAACCGTATTAGTGTCTAATTTTTTGTCACTGTTTAATTTTCCGCGGGTGGCGGGGGTGGTGTTTGTTGTTTGGTGAATGTACATACGTTGGACAGAGACAGCGAGTGAGAGAAGGGGGAAGGACAGGGTCAGTTGGGGCCAAAAAACGCAGATGAGGTTAAAAAACAATGAGACAATCGAATAAATAATAAATAAAATGACTGATTTAGAATGAAGACTAGACCGTTAACGAAATAACTGTAGCGCAGCAACATCGATAAGAGAAGACATCGAACACATTCAATTCAACACCCCTCCTGCCTGTCGAAACAAATTAAAACTTAGATCCTCGCCATAATCAGGACGAGTCAGACTGCATACATTAATAAAAGTAGCGAGATCAAGACAGTAAGAGATAGACAGACTGATTTGAGAGGGAGAGATAAATAGAGCTATAGAGTAAGATTGGTAGATCGAGTGAGTGAGTGAGTAGAGGCAAGTGTTTCGTTTAAAAAGTTTAAGTAACTAAATCAAATTTTCAATCGTTTGGCCAATTCCTGTTTTTTTTCTTTAGATTTGTTCGAATTTGTAGCTTTTGTTTTAAATAAAGAAGTCATAATACTAAAACAAATATATTTAACTTAGTTGTAACATAAGCCTAAAATTAAGGGGGGAAGTATTTGTGCTTAAATAGATCTTAGAAGTTTCAACTTACCGTTAAGAGAGTGCGCTTGATGTTTAAATTTTTGTTTTGGATTTAAATTTTGGATTGTTTTGTTTCTTTTTATTTCAAATATAATTATGGGTTCGTTTAATTAAATGTGTTTGTTTTTAGTACCTAGGGATGAGGGTTTAATTCACCAACGAAATAGTTGTTTGTTTCTTTGAATGAAAAGAACTGGAATCTGATTCGAAAGAGATTTATTAAGTAAAGTGTTAAAGATTTTAAAGATTGATTTATCTGTTTTACATATGTGTACTTTTATATATTTTTATTTAAGTGTTAATTAAGTGGATTCATTGCTTCATTCATTGGTTTCTATTGCTTTTAAGTACATTTCTCCCTTATTTTCCACATAAAATGGCTCTTTAGCAAAGCACTGAAATCTTCAACGGTTGATTAAATTATTAATAAGCAACACTAATCAACTTCGGTGGGTGTTTGCCAAAGATATTAATCGAGGGTGCGTCCGATTTCAGAAACCATTGCTTGTATTTGGGGGCTCTGGCCAATGGATTCGAGATTGGATGCTGCCCGAGATTTAATTTTCTTTTGAATGGATTGCTAAAACCAATTTTCAAAGAAAACAAGACAATCTTATAGTTCTTATATAGAGTATAATAGAGAGAGAATCCGATAAATTTCAGCCCGACGTCTTGCTTTTTAAAGTCTCGTTGTTGCTTGCCCTACTTCTGGAGCAATTTCCTTTATATTTGGATAAATTTATTAAAGTTTTTTTTTTCTTGACCTTAAGGCCCTAAGGACTAGAGAAAGTTTAGCTAATATGGCACAAAATGACACGAACAAAATTAGTCAACATTCACTACAGCACATGTTAAGTAAATAAATAAAATAATAACTGACGCGGAAATCGATTGGAATTCTACATATAATACTTTTCAAAGTTTCCTGCCACTGAGTACTGGTCTCGGTATTACTAAATCGATAAATATATTTCTTTTTTTCTTCAGTTTTTTTTTTTTGGTTTACTAGTCTTCTAAAAAAAAGCGTCTAGAGGTTTCGAAGATTTAACAATAAAGATAGTTCAGAGTCTTGAAATCAACTACGATTAGCATAGGATTATATAAGGTTGTATATAAATATATATAAATAGATATTGATGTACATCCAACTGATGACTGTTGGCTCCTCACTCTAACTTGCATTATATTACGTATACGTTGCTTGAATCTTGATTACTAAATAGTGTGAAAACCTTTTCATTCTCTGCTTTTGATTTCAATGTATAGTTCCCCTTTCGGTCTGCCTGCCTAGAGAAGTGATCACATATGTACATAGTGGCTGAAAAAGCGATCCTTGATGTCCGCGTGCTTGATTTTGCAGTGGGCCTTCATGTTGTCCCGCCGGGTGAACTTTTGTCCACAAACAGGACACTCGTGGCTCTGGGGCCGGTGGATATTGGCGTGGTGCCAGCGATTCGAAACGATTTTGTTGCAGCTCACGCAGCGATATAGCGTTGGCAAGGTGCCCGACAGCTGAACGAACAGGGTTGAGTAGTCGATGTTGTGATCCCGCCGATTGGCCGCCGCTGCAGCGGCTGCTGCTGCCGAGGATGCAGTGGACCCGCTCGATCCACTGGAACTGGGTTGTGGCGAGACGGCCGTGGTACTTATCGAGGTTGAAGCGGATGCGCCTGATCCCGTCGCGGTCACCGATCCGGATGCACTCTGATAGTGGGGCGAGTTTTGGGCGTGAGTGGACGGCGGTGGAATGGGCATGGGTGGTGGCGGGTGGTGACCATGATAGCTCGACAAATCCAACTGCTGCACAGATCCATTGCTGGTCAGATAGCCCGGGTTGCCGCCGACCACCGTGGCCGGTGGTGTGTATGCCGCCTCCGCTGGGCAATCCATCAGCGATCGATGGTGGTGCGGGTGGTGCGGCGGATAGTGGGCCATGATATGCTGCTGGCGACTGCAGCGTATGGCTCGCATGTTGAGCTCCTTGCACTTGTATTCGCAGTTGTAGCCACCATCCACATAGATATCGGAACCGGAACCGGACCCAGAACCGGAAGCCGCTTCCTCATCGTGCGGCTGGGGTGCATAAACCACCGCTCTTCTATATTTCGGAGGAGCGGCATGGTAAGCTGTCTCCTCGATATCCTCCCGATCCTGCTCATGCTCCTGACCAGGTTCCTCCTCCACATCCATTTTGGGATGCCGGTTTCCATCCCGATGTCGATTCTGATCCCGGTCCCGCTCCAGTTCCACATCCTCTTCGATTAGCCTATCGCGATCCTGATGCCGATCCTCGTGCTTACTGTTAAAACACTTGACGCGACCTGCAAACATTTGCTTGGTTCATATTAGGCGTCATCACTGTGGGGGTGGGAGCTGAAGGGGGCGGAGAGATGGAGAAATGGAGAAAGTGGGACAGAGAAGTGGCGAGGATATCACGCATCTTTTGCATTCCATGCGCACTGTGGTCTAAAAGCCAATTATATGTGTCCGGAAGGTGGGGAAAAAATTCTAAAAATCAACTAAGTAGCCACAGAAGGAAGTAGGAAAAATGATGGGGATACTTGTGTATAAAATGTGAAGGATATTTTAATATTTTTTTGAAAGGTGGGCCTACCCTAATCTATCCAATATTTGTACTGGAAAGTATGGTTGAATTTTAAAAATTTGTTGAACGAAAAATGAATGAATTGAATTTTTAATTTTACAAAATTGAAATTTAATATTTTAGCTTTACTTTGAGGATTGCAATTCGATAACTATCCTTTTCTAAGCTTAAGATTTTTGAAGCTATCGGCCCACCTTTCTTGTATATGTAGGCATATCTTTTGAATATATATTTTAAACAGGCCTAATATGTATGCGATCAGGAGTGAATGTGTATGTTTCTTGGGATAGGAAATGCAAGACGAATTGAGCAAAAGTCAGCTACAAGAGTGGTTTCAATGGGTTTGTTTCTGGACATTTCCATTCCTTTCGATTCCGGAACAAACATTGTGTTTTAATGCGTGTGGTGATCAAAAGACAAATAACAAATAGAAAAAACTTAACTGATCGGCAGGGAAAAAGGATTGACTAAGCCTGGAAATCATAATTTACAATTCGATCAATGGTGGGTTGTATCAAATCAATGGTCTTAATAATACATTTGGCAGAGTCTGTGGATATAAAACCAAACAAATCAAATCAAGGCTGGACTTAAAGCTAGGGCGGCATCGGTTCGGTTCGGTTCGGCAGGACATTATAGCTCTAAGAAAACAATTCAGCTAAATTATACTTTGCATCAAAGCAAATCAATCAATTAACAGTGTGAACAGTGTGAAACGGTTTGGGAGAAATCATAAGAAAACAAAATCAATGTAAACAACTCTTGTTCGTGTCATTTTGTGGCATAAACAATTTTTTGTGGGCTTATCATATAGTCAAGTATTTTCGATTCTCTATAATACAGTTCTCATACATATTATTTAATATTTCTTAGCTCTTTCGGGGAGAACTATCGTTTTAGTACTTCAATGTTGCAACAGATTTTTAGATGTAGTCGATTCGGTTTATACAAGTATCTATATTTTTGTATTTTATGGCAATACATATTTATAATGGCAAATTCCAGTTCTTTTTCGGTTTTTTATTTTCTCTTTTTATTTTTGAAGGTAGTGAGGGGTGGGGGTCGCTGAGTGCAGGTTTTTTTTAGCTGTAAGGTAATTTTAATTTCAATTTCGATTTAATTTCAACTTAATTATTTTTTTTAACTTTTTTTTGTGCGCAATCTGGAGCCTATGTGCGAGTGGTATCTCTCTCCTTTCAATTTTACCATTTTTGTTGGGACTGCTCTCGATTAAACATTAAAGGATATGTGCGACACACACACAGATACAAGCATACACACACACACAGACAGTTAAGCTCAGAGAGAGAGAGACAGAGAGAGAGAGGTAAAAAGAGATAGGCAAAAGAAAGATAGTTGGAAAACACTTAGTTAGCTTGGCAAAGACCAATTGAAAAAAACAGTCAGTTACGGTTATCTCGTTAAGAACAGTGTGACAAAATATGGTTTAACGGATTGTTCACATCAAATCATAAATGCAGCAATGTTAGTAGAAATATCCAAAAGAGGAAAATTAGAGTCTGTGTCTGTGTGGCGTGTGTGAGTGTGGCTTTGTGTGGGTATGTGGGTGGAAATAACGAAAAAAAGAATACATCGATTTTTGAAGCTGTTTTTGAGTTTTATTCACACTGAAAAGTAGGAAATTGTTTTTTTTTTTTTTGTTTAACTTGCTTTTTCGGTTTCGTTTTCATTTCTTAGACAATAAGTTGCAACATTAAAGACGAAAAGAGATTTGGAAAAATTTCGAAGGGTTTCTTGATTATTTTTAAAAATTTAATTTATATTTTTTGTGAGTTTTAAAATGATTATGTTGAGAATATAAAGAAATAATAGGTAGAAAACAAAACTAATGTAAAGTGAAAAATTTTTTGAAAAAAAGCATTTTGAAATAGCTACGCCCTTGTGTGTGTGTGTGTGTTTGTGCATCAATCCAGAATCAAGATGGAATTATTCCGACTTTCAAATGTTTATATTGTATGATTATCTTTTATTATTTATAGGTATTTTTTGTCGCTATAGATGTATTCGCCAATCGAGCTAATTAACATAAATTGTTTGTTTTTGAATGAAAACGGAGGCATTTTTTTTCTATGAACTAATTTTGTATTTTCCGGGAATGTTTAAACTGACTTATGACTAATATGGAAGCATGGAGATCGTGAAATCAATTGATAAGTTTAAAACAATACATAATTAAATTAAATAAATACGTAAATGATAACAGTATGTGTGTGTTGTCGAGGGTTTGGCAGTGTATCGAATGTGTGTCGGGGGTGATTATGTCTATGTATAGGCGTCGAAAAACATGCAACATGCGGCAAACATACAGAAACAACTGAATCGCAGCCATAGGACTGCGACCCAGCATCGATTCCAATGGAAAAATTTCCTATAAGCTTAAGTTTAAGTATAATATATATCAATATAGATTACCATACGATACGACAAACAACGAAATAATAAGAATATGCATGTAAAGAGAGAGATAGAGAGATATTCTGGTAGGAGAGGTGTTGATCTGTTGCTCTAGCTAGCACATGGGTCTTACTTCTCTTAGGATCTATCATTCGGAACGTAACGTAGGCTACGTGTCAAATATCGGTAAATACATAGGAAAATTTTAAATACTGTACTTACAAAAGCATACAAAATAGGGATTTTAAACGAGTATTACTTGTCTCAGGGTTTTTGAGTATATGGGAGGTGGTTCTTTGGGGGTTTTACAGATACGAATATGCATGCAGGATCATTCAGAAAATATATGTAAAAACTAGAGACTGTTTTCCAATTAACTTGAGAATATTTACCACTTGAACTCTAGTTTGTACATATACTATCTTAAATATTTTCGGGGCATCTCCAGGACTTTTTACTCTACTTAAAATTAGATTAGAATAGATTGCTCATTTCGGTTAGATTTTTTTAAGGGACGGGGGTAGGAATGAAACAGAAGTTAAGCTACGAATTTTCTACAATTTTCTATACAAATTCTCAATAAAATATTTGTTTGTAGGGGTATCTCGCATTTCTTTGAGTTTCCAACAGTTGGACGCGTGGTAGAAACAAAGTTTGTTAAACAACGAAAAAATGTATATCAACCAAAAGCTAATAACAAATTACATACGCAATATATAGATACATAAGGTAGATATTTTCTTTCGGTTTTGGTTTCGAGTGCGTTAGGTTTTCAAAAGCTCAGAGAGAAGAAGATTCTTTTGTGTGTGGTTTACTTGTAGTAGTTATAGTTGTAGTGGTGCTAGCTCGGTTCTGGCTATGGCAACTAAATGGCTAAATGGCAATGCTCAGCGTTTGCTACTCACCGTCAATGTTATCCGTCTGGTCCAGCTGCAGCTGCTTGGTATCGTTGTGATCTTCCCGTGTGTCTGCCGCTTGCAGCGGGTGCTGTGACAACAACGTTGACATGTCCTCCGCATGGAGCTTAAGAGCAGCGCTCTTTAGTGGGACAAACAAATTGGGAAAATAGGAAAAGGGATATGGTAAACTTTATATATTTAAAATCCAAAGAAATGAATGAAAAAGATAAAAGTTTATCCGATTGCTCAGCTACTGTTGCGTTATTAAATGAAAAACAATTTTGTAGAAAAAACTAATTTATTATGTGTATTTTTCATATCAAAAGTATCTCCTTTTTAAATTTTAATTTTACCAATTGCAAAATGCTCCCAAGGTTAAGCTAGAGCTAGTTTTTGTGTTTTATTTCATATATTTATGCGATTAACAAATATTAAATCTATGGCCTAAGGCTAATCCTGAGCGGTTTGTGTTGGATCCATTTGCGAGCGGACCTGTCTCTAAGAGCTGTCTTTTCCCACATTTATGGTGATGATGTCCGGGGATGGACGCTTGGCGTTGTTGCCACCACTTCCACTAGGCAGTGGGTGTTGCTGCTGCTCCTGGAGCTCACGTTCGTAGCATAATCGATGGGATTTGCATTTGTTGTGGTGGTTGACGATCTCCAGACGGAAATTGGAGTTTCCCTCCACGAAGGAGGTTCGTATATCGGCCAGTTCGCTGCTCCACTTCCGACAGTGCCGGCAGAACATCGTGTTGGCTCTTTCGTCGTATTGCAGCCATTCGAATTGGTAGAGCCAGTTGGCTCGAAAACGCCCGCTTTTCCGCGAGCCACCAGAGCTGGCCACCCCGAGGCCAGCGCCGCCGGATCCTCCAGTTGCTGGCGGCGACATGAGGGATTTATTCGGTTCCCTGTGCTCCTGGTGTTGCTGATTTTGCAGCAGTCTTTGCATGGCATTGTCCAAGCTCTCGTTCTGATAGTGGAGCTGCAAACTTTTAAGCTGCGCCTCCATGGCCTGGTGCAATAGCAATTGATGCATGGACTTGGTGCCAGCACCGCCTAAATACCCGTCAGACTTTTTCACCTACATACAGGATTAAGAAAATGTTGTTGGCAAAGCATGGATCTGATAGAAGGAAGGATTTTCTGGACTTTACTTTACTTTAGTTTTACGTTACTTTACTTTATACGTTTTTTTAAGGCGCAGCATTGTTACGATTTTTTCTTTCTTTTCATTGGCCGATATTCCGCTTCGAATTTGGAAAATTCAATTAAACGCAATTCACCAATCCTTCGTTCTGCTCCCAGTTTGCTTCTGATTTTCTTAAAAACAAATTCAACACCATTTGAGGACAGCTTGAACACCACTGTGTCCCATTGGGAAGCATTTTGCAATTGGCTAGCTTACAGTTAAGGAGATGGATCAACAAAAAGGCTTTACAAGAATGTACAGTAGCTGGAACCATCGAACCGGTTCAAAAAAAGAAAAAACCTTAACAAACTAAACGATGCAGCAACAAAATCATAATCGAAATTCACTCAAAATTAAGATTCATCGACTGATCTAAACTGAAATCTTATTGACTGATAATGGCCAACTGACTTACCGGCAAGTAATCGGGCGGCAGGGCTACATGATGTTCGCGATGCTGTTGTTGGGCATCCATCAGCTCCTGTTTGATACTCAGGGACTGGCTCAGGCCGCTGAGGGCGCTTGCCGCACCAACATTTCCGCCCCCACCCAAATGGCCGCTAGTGGTCATCGAGAGCGGCGAATCGTGACGTCCACCGGCATCCTCCGATTCCGATGTGCTGCCGCCCGTCTTGGGCACGGGACTCGATTTAAAGTTGGCCTAAAATAATAATAGTATTTATTTAAAATATATTTGAATAAAAGTGCGCAAATTACAAAGCTTCGTGCAAGAGCATAAAAATCGCAATCCTTATCAGCACGTGTGGGAGAGCTAGATAGTGGCACGGAAAGGAGAGAGAGGGAGAGCGGCACGTGCCTAGCCCACAAAACTGAGCTCTGGCTGATAAGGGCCAGGTATAGCTGCCAAAAATACCAACGAAGCATTATTTGATCACAGATCACTGGCCACAGCTGATAGCCGCAGTCATGTGAGCAAGCGTGTGCCCGGGCTCCCGCAACCACCACCGCTCCCCACCGCCTCGTAAATGCTAAACATAAATGTTGATATTGTTTGTTTGTTTGCCTGCGGCTGCCTCCTGACTCCCGATAAGCGAAAAGTTTGGCAAGTTATGAAAATGGAGCTACGAAGGCCAACCTAGGGAGTGGTGTGCCTACTTTTATACCCACCCATTTAAGACGTATATGGTCTGCGTTAATAAAAAGTTAGTATAATGCTGGACTTCATCCAGCTTCATCTGGAATAGCGAACAACCAAATGCTGAGAAAGCCACATATCTGGCACAAGCCTATTATTGCCGATATAAACAAACATTGCTTTAATTTCTTTTTTTTCTGACACTGTTTTTGGTGCTAAAGTTCAACACTAATAAATATTTCACGCAAATGAAAATATCTGCCATGGCTGTCCTAATAAATGTGTTTGCTAAACTGTGTAAACGATAACTCAATTTACGCATAATTAATAATTTACAGGCATTTTCCTTTTAATTATTAAATAAATAGTTATATTATTCACAGGAATTTTAGGTTCTAACTGTTACTATTTAAAGCCCTTAGTACCTAAACTTTTTGAGTCATTTAATTAATTAATTTGTAAAGAAAAAGCCATACAAATTTAATTAGTGCTTCCGTTGTAACTAATAAATATTTTACGCCCGTTTTGATGCGCTATAATTTCTAATTAATTTTAATTGTCAGGCAATTAAAGAGCCCACAGAAAAAACATGGCTTTTTATTTCAAATTCCTGAATGACTGAGCGATGGCACACTGTTTAGGTTTGCCTGAAGGCAACAAAAACAACACACACTCGGCAACAATTTAATTACCAGGACAATGAACTGACCAATAAAACAATTAAATGGAAACCAAGCTCTAAACTTAATGTGGTTTTTATAAATGAATTCAACGATTGAATTCCTAAACGATTGTACGCCTTATCCTTTAGTACAAATATAACTTTTGCTTACCTGAGAGTCCTGCGGGTAGTGCCTGTCCTGGTGGCTCGAGGACAGCGAGTTATCACAGTTGGATGATGAGTTCTTACGTCTGCGCTTACTACTACTCAGCTGATCCACCGGCGTGGTAGACAGCTCCCTGTCCCTGTCGCGCTCACGCTCGCGATCTCGCTCTCGTTCCCGCTCTCGTTCTCTGCTGTTGTTGCGCTCCCGATTGTTGTTGCTGTTATTATTGTTGTTGTTGCTGTTGTTATTATTATTGTTGTTGCCGGTACTGCTGCTATTACTGTTGTTGTTGTCCTTGGTGCTATAATCTAACTGCAACAGCTCATCGCGACTGTCCGCCCGCTCGAGCGTTCCGCGCTCACTGCCGCGGTCGCTGCAGGCATCGGCGCTGGCGCTTCGATTAGCGGCTGCCGCCACAGCAGCTGCCACTGCCGCCGCAGCCGCCGCACTGGCGCTGCCCACGCTCGGAGATCGTTCGCCGGCACTGGGCGTGGTTAGGCCCAAGGCGGCGACTGCCGCATTCACATTTCCGCCGGCTGCAGCCACCGCCGCTGCAGCAGCCGCAGCTGCTGCTGCCGCCGAGCCGCGTTCACTCAGGCTGCTGCTGCTGCGTTGTGTTAGCTCGTCGCGCAGGTCGCGTTCGCAGCGGGAGCGCATGGAGTCGCGTGATTCGCGCATCGCATCCACGCCGGATCCAAGCCCGCCGCCTCCGCCGGAGCCACCATAATTGCTGGGGCCGCGGCCAGTGGGAGAGCTGGCTGCAGAGTCGCGCAGCTTGTCGCAATCCGAGCGGTAATTCAGATTGTTGTTATCTGTGAGACCGCGCACCTGTAGGCAGGAATAAAAATAAATTAATATTAAAATAGATTATATTGTGTCAAGCAAAAAGTTAAAATAAAATTGCAAGTAGTTTGTGGTTAAAGTTCGAAAAATTCGATAAAAGTTGAAGTTTTCTGTGTACACTCGGGCGTATACATCATATCCCTAGTACCACTCCCATTTGTGGGATCTTAAAATAATGTTTAATATTTTAGGCAGATAATAGCTTTATACAAAAAGGATTTGACACTGAAGAATTGAAAATTTAAACTTTACAGTTTTGGTACTTCGTTGCGTATACTTGATATTTTTACGTATACTTGATATACTAAGGGATTTGTTCAGGCTAGATATTACTAAAGCTATATTTCACTGCTAGTTTGACTCTTTATGAATAGATTTGTAAAAAAAAAACAGAAATTACATAGTGTGTACACCGTGACGTATACTTGATTTGAGTACTGATAGTACGTATACGCCCTGTAAGCATGACATCTTTTTTTTTTACAAAAGTACCACGCTAACGATTGGTAATACACACCTGTAGACTCTCGGCCGTCTTGAGAAACATGGGCAGTGAACTCTGCCCCACATTGACCTCGCCCTTGTACATAAAGTCGAGCAGAGAACGCATCTCTGAGTATCGGACATCTTTTAAGTAGATGATGGGATGTGGATGCTGGTTCTGCAGGAAAATCGTCTCGAAGTACGGACTGCAGGCTGACAGTATCGTTTGGTGAGCCTAAAAAAGTATTTAATTAATTAAAGTTTTAAAAATTGAAAATAATGAGTCAAGTACCTTGACTGTTTCGCCTTCGCAGGCGAGCGTTACGTCGCATAGCGCCTCCCGCTGCAGCAGTGAGGTGAGCACGCCGGTCAAATTTGTGGGATGATTGTTCCAGCGCAAGCAGAATTGCTGGTCCATCGCTCCTTGGTCAGTGTTGTACCTGTAAAAACGTATATAATATTATAGTTGAGTATAAAAAACTGCAGGCTTTTTTATTAAAAAAATTACTTTTAAAAAAAACTCGACCACTTTAGGTTACCCTTTAAAGCCAAGTGAAGAGCTTTTGGCGAAAGTGAACTCTCAACAAGTACTCTTTTAGATAGTGGCTGTTACTATTTTCGTTTGATAAAAGTATAGCCGTCTTTTTTGGGGTATTTTTATTTATAGACACTTTCCAAGGCGGAAGCGGAAACGGAAGCAATTTGCTTAGCGGGTTATCGTTATCACTGCGCTACCCAACCTGGGTAGAATTGTGGGCGTTTGTAACGGTACAAGGAGTACCAATGATAATTTGTCAATGAGCACAATTGCTCATTACGATTGCCGAGAGCGCCAGAGGCTGTTCTCAATTATTTATTGCATTTCCGTTTCCCGATAACAAACCGCACGGCATGTGCTATTGTGGCCAAAACTCCACCACCACGAATGCACTTGTGTTAGAGGACATGTGCATGTGCAGTGGCATGGCTATTGGAACGTGTCCCAGTGTGTGTGTGTGTGAGCGTGCCCATGGAGTGTTAATTACCATTTGTTCCCGCCATGTTTGGCTGCTGGCTAGCTGTTAATTACTCGGCCAAATAGACGAGCAATCCATGCAAATTTAGTTGACAGACCAATGGAGAAGGGTGTTCAGACAGGAGGATGGCATAATTGATGGTGTTTCGGGCTTATCAATTGCAAATTTATTGAGCCCTCAAACCCACTTACAGACCGACACAAGAATAGAAATGCTGTTCATATTTCTTTATTACAATTGCTTGGAATCCGCTCTAATCTTAACGGCCTTTGGTCAAAGTTCTAGTACGTAGTACAGGGGGTGGTGGTGGCTTGGTGGGTGGTGCAGGGCAGCGGGATGTTCCGGGCGACATTGATAAGAAACACTTTTGCTTTTCATATCGCTGCTGGTATTGTGTTTATTTTTAAACCATGACGTTAGCCGAACGTTACAGGCCCATTTAAGGAATTTTCATTAAATATATATTTTAGTCAAATAATAGCTTAGAACCTCTAGAATATGTAAGATTTGATTTAAAATAATTGCCCCAAAACAACATTATATAGCCTGCTGACCAAAAAGAGAACAAGATCGGGAGAAAGAGAGCGTGAGCTTTAAGCTTTTGCCGGCAACGCTTAACAAAATAAATAAACAAAACGTCAAAGAACTTTTTCGCAAACGAATGCTGACCGTGAGAACGGGCACCCTGCAGAGGTGGCCAGAACGAGAGGGGCATACCGAAAGCGAGAAAGCAATACCGAAAACAGAGTGAGAGGAGCGAGTGGGTGCGCGTGCAAGTGAGATTAGATCGGGGGAGCATAGCAATAATAACAATTACAGCTTGTGTGCGTGTGGGGCCGCTGTCGTAAGCGTTTTTATTGGCGTTCTTCCCGCTCCGTCTGCCACCCAACCGTCTTGCTTTCTTCCGTCCCCCTCTCTGCCCATTCTGCCGTAATCGCTTTCAAGTTGCCTTCTTTGTGTTGCCATTAAAAAATCAGTATTGTAGCTACATATAATAACTAACGTGGCACAAAAAAAAAGATACTTTCATTTTCATTTCCACAAAACTTTGTTGTCTTTGTTTCGTAAATGGTTTGAGTATTATAATTCACTTTTAAGATCAGTGCAACTACCCATATATTGAGTGACTGAATATGTATCTGAATAGCTTAAGGACTCAAAAGATATTCTTTCTACCATTTCGCAAGGCAAATTGAGTTGTGCATTCATTATTAAATTTGAATTGAGCTGAATATATTTTTTCGATCTACTCACGTGTATGTTACTGTGGATAGTACTCTGAATTTCTTTCAAAAATCTTACCAAACATATTAGTAAACATTTACCATACAAATAATTCAAATTTTTGATTTTCTGTAGTTGGTTCCATATCGATAAGAAATTATTTATTATGATAACCATGTCGGTTGTAAATTTTTCTGCCGAAAATAAAGCTAGGGAAACCCAAAAGTTATCATTTTTATTGTCACTCAATATAGTAACAACTGAATCATAAGAGTTAAAATAAAATATGATAAGTAAAGTATTTTAAGGTATTGGAATTTTAACTTCTTTCTTTTATTAAGAAAATATAAAAATTGCTTATGCCATTTATTTGTGTCAGTTTAGTTAAGCTTTTTCTTAATAACTTCCCCTGGCCAATTATTTACAAAGTCAGAGAAATGACAATAAAAAAATAGAACGCAACGTTGTCAGCGCCGGCGCCAGCGCTAAAAAAAAAAGCAGCCAAGCAATTTCGCCGTATTTTGCTTTTTTTTATTTTTTTATACAATTTCGTTTTTGTTGACGAGTAGCAGCAGTGCCGCCAGCGTCGCCATCGACGTCGACGTTGGCTTCGGCGCTGCATGCGATTGCAGTTTTTATTTACACTTGCGCTTTCAATGCAAATTTGCTATGAATGCAAACACAATTGTTGTTGTTGGTCTCGTTTTTGCTGGCAGCGATTGTTCTGTTTAATTAATGAGAACTTTTACTTTCAAACAACAGTAGCAGCAGCAGCAGCGTCGCTTACGTAAATTGTTTAAAAATATGTTAGCGCTTATCAGGTAGCTAAAACAAAAGCCGAGAGAGCGATCAGCAAATTGCGCAATATGTTAAACGCCGCTCATCATCAGCTGGGACGTGTTGCCCACACCCGCCGCTGTAACGGTCTCAGAATCAATATCAAAGATGCAGATACACAGGTCTCGGATACAGATAAGCGGCATAGGAGAAGAAAAAAAACATTTTGTCACGCGTCAACAGCATACTTAGATAATCAACGCTAACTGCCAGTCACACAGTAAGCAAAAAACGCACACACTTGCGGCGCACGGGGCGTATCAGTAATGGCCTTCAACTTTCAGTTAGTGGCGCCTTATCGTGCGAGGCGGCGGCGTCGCAGTCGACAGCGCTGCCAGCGCTCAGCTGTAAGCGAAAGAGAGCCCAAATAGTTTTTTCTCCTATTCCACTATTATTTTTTTTTTTTGCTGTTCAATTTACACGTTCTAAATAGTTTGCGCAAAGCCGAATGAACCGGTGTGTTTGCGTGTGTGGTGTATCTGTATCTGAGATATACGAGTGCGAACATCGGCGAGCAGCGGCACTTGAGGGGGAGCCGCGATAATAATTATAAATACAAAGTAGTTTGTTGATATTTGTTGTTGCCTGCCGCTGACGTTTGACGTTTGTTGATCTTCTGGCCAAGCAGTGGCTTGTTGTTGTTGTTGCTGCTGCTGCTGTTGGCTTTCAATTTTCGCTTTGCTGTTTATCTTTTGCCTTAGAACTTTACATGTTGGCGTAGGTTGTTGTAGTTGTTGGGGCCGTTGCGTTGTAAATTTACCGTTGCGAGTTCAACGAACGCGAAAATAATGGGCGCCCACATGGTCATTACACGACGTCCATATCCGCATCTGTCAGATACTAATTTTGGAGATCAGTCATATGGTTAGTGCCCTTCGCCAGAGCACTGCGAACGTAAATCAATAGAAATCGCATAGAGATGCGTTTGTTCAGATACCCAAATGAATATTTAAAATCCACACAGATACAGGCGCAAGTGGAGATACCGATACACACTTGCAGAAGGCAAACGAGATCAAGATTAGCGCGCGTTCGCGGTTCACCTTGACTCAATGGTCAAATGTGCAAAATGCCGCAAAGTAAACTTTGAAAAACAACAGCTTAAATGAATCAGCGCCGGCCCAACAGCATTTGCAAAAGGTTTGGCCAGCCAGAGTGGCTTGTAAAAGATGAAGGTCGCCAGTTACAGATACAGATACAGCCACACCGGATCGGATCATGATTGATTAAGCTCGGCCTGTAAGCTGAGGCCAAAAACTCCATTTAGCCTTTGGCTGGCTCGTTGGCGCGAGGCTTGGTTTGGCTAAAAAAAAACGGCAAAATGTTGAGCAAGGTCAACTGTAGGAGGTTACTGGTACTGGGAACCCAGCTAATAGCTAATAGCTCATAGCTACATGGCCTAAGTGGGTCACGATGCTTTATGGTTAGGTGGGCGAAGTTGTGGGAGCGAGGGCTATATATTAGGGTAATGGGCTCGCCAAATTGATTTATGCACGTGTTTGTGGGGCGACATCCGATGCTGGCTAATTTAATTGAAGTTCGAAGAGTAGGGTATTTAAATTGGGCTTTTGGCTGGACCAACCCATCCGCAGAAATCCAATGTAGTCTGGATTATATTCAAACATTCTGAATATTTTTTGGTTTACAATAAAGTTTCCTAACTACATAAGCAAATAAAATCAAAAATCCCCTGGAGAAAATGTTGCAATAATTTTTTGCACAAGTTTCAATTAACACCATTTTCTTTAACTTAATTAGTTTGTTTACCACTTTATTGTTGTGGGCATTTGCTGAACGTGTCACACTGATTTAAAATTTAATGGATACAAAAAGTATGAATTTTCCAAGGCGTTTACATGGCGACTGCGGGGGGCAGATATAATAATTTAACTTGTCGCTCATTGAGAGATATTTTTAGAGAAATGCATTATTAAGCAGCGGCACAGGCACTGCAAAGGGGGTCCACCGAAAGATACATTTTACATTTGTCAGATACAAATGTGTTAATTGCCTGGCAGTGCGTGCACTGCAGTTTACCGGCCAGGAATAGAACGCCCACACGCAAAACTGTTTATGCACTCATGGGAGGGTACGTGGATATAAAAAGAGGATAGGTGGGGTAGGGGTGCGGGTGCGGGGGCGGGGAGCCGGGATGCAGACATTAGTGCGAAACTGTGTCGAGCAGCGTGTGGGCGGCAAAGAAGTGCGAAATTGTGTAAAAGGCGACAAATGAAATTAGCCGACTGCTCGCGCCTATCAGAGACATTCACTGCGTTACTGGCGAGGAGGGAAAGGGGCGTGGAAGGGGGGCAGTGAAAGAAGGGGGAGGTGAGCAACAAGAGACCTCCATAACATATGCTGAG